ACAGGTATCGTTTTGTTTTTTCATCAAATCAGTAATGATCACTCTATAAAGTTGTTGATAACCCTATCAACTTGTTGCATTAGTTTCAGAATATGCAGACCCATGAAGGTATGGGTTAGAATATTGATCTTCAGTAACCCATGCTTGTCGTAAGAAGCGACTAACGGGATCGGTTCCCAATTGTGCAAATCAATGCTTATGCTGTTGATCACTGGATTGTCTGGTCCAGACTCAATTATTTACAGACCGCCGCCCTATAGCTGGAATATTGCTGAGTCACTCACTCACTCAGAATATGCATGGGAAGAGTATAGTAGGAAGAATTGGGGAAATAACAATAGATTTATTTCAGTGATTTGGTATATTCAATACAATTCATTACAGTTTCCGTTAAGTGTGACGCCATGAATGATGCAAACACATGCATAACTTACTTTAACAGTACTTCTCATTTCTGGCTATTTCCCATGACAATGAAAACAAAAAGATGGAGTGAATGAGTATGGTTTTACACTGCTGTTAGCAATGATCCAGCAATATCATGGCGGGGGACATCAGAAATAGGCTTCACACATTGTACCTATGTGGGGAATTGAACCTGAGTCATCGGCGTTATAAAACAAAAAGAAAATACCTTGCAGATTGTCAAAAAAATCTGATTACTAACATGTCAAATTTATGCATATACGATCCTTGAATCAAAAACGCCTCCTTCCTAATACCCTTGTATCCTGTCCATGAACACACCATTTGTGAAAGTCACTTACTGCTAGTGATCTCATATGTATGTCAGCATTGTTATACATATTTGGTATTTCACTGAGGTGAGGTTCATGCAAAATACACACGATCAATCTGTCCTGCATGCATCTTTCATAAATCCTACAGTTTTTCGTGCCAATAATTTCACTATGGATATCTTTTGCTCTGGGACTTGACAGGAGACAAGTTTAAATCAATGGGCACCAAATACGTCATAATCTAAGGGGGTAACTCAGGCCTGTTTTGCTCAGAAAACAAGGACCCCATAAAGGCATATTACCGTATTTCAACACTTATATTGAGCGTTCTACTTTCAAGGGCAGAGAAATGAAATTCTGTTTTGTTTGTACATTTCACCTTTAATACAGATTTTCTTGATTAGAATATGTACAGATTAATAAACCATGGATAGGGAATGATATCAACAAGAATTTATCAAGGAATTTTATCCAAATACATTCATGAAAGGTAACTGGGGAAAACACTTTCCAAAACTGTGCACATTTTTAAGGATCTCACTTTCCAAAATAAGTCCCTTCAAGGTGACAATATCTACCCATAGTCAAAGTAATGGAAGTGTTTACCCAGTAATACTAACATTTGATCCTGACTTGTGGTCTCTCTATTTACATATTATCACATATGCAGCATTAATATGCAGTCCCTGAGATACACTGTTACAGCATAACTCTAAATGTTTACCTATTGATTTCAAAATTAGCATCATAGCAAGGTCACCCTGACTTTGTATCTTAGTTTCAAATACTATATAAGCAAACCATGTTCAAGTATTTGTCAAAAACATTCGGAAAGCAAAATCTCTTGCTGAACAAAATCAAAATTTCAAGATGTACCAAAGTATGAAGCGTTACAATTTTACTCTGAATTATCACAACACTTCAATACTTGGTCTATGGTTTGACAAAGCAAAACTTCTCCCCATATTTATTTAACCCTTGTTTAAAGAAGTACAACTTATTTTTAAAAAAAGGATAAAAAACCTTGTTTGTTTCTATACAATCACTTCCAACCTTGAGGACCTCTAACATCTAACCAATGTTTTAGTTTTACGTCGCTTTTAGCAATATTCCAGTTATATCACGACAGGGGACACCAGAAATGGGTTTCACCCATTGTACCCATGTGGGGACTCGAACCTGGGTCTTTTGGCATGTCGAGCGAATGCTTTGACCACTGGGCTAACCACCCCCCCACACACACACACACCCACACCCCGGTGCACTAGAAGATGATAAGAATAATGTTTGAAACATGTTACCTCTGCTTGAAAATGCAGGACTATATCTATGTACATTGCTAAAATCCTTACTGCCTGAACTCTAAATTTCAAGAGGATTTATTGCATGCATTTATCTAGGATTCCACACTAAATGCCTGTGGTAGGCAAACAGGAGAATTTATTGTTGTTTTTCAAAACTGTGAGTCTCATAATTTAAGAGGCACTCTAACACTGAATTCAATGCAGTCATTTAAAATTAAGCTTCTTTGTCAACTGGTACCTGTTCTGTGTAAAATAGAGTTACCTCCAAAGAGTCATACCGTTATTTATGACAACAACATGAACTCGGAATTCTTAGATTCCAGTTTGGGAATTTGTATCTGCAGACGTGGGACCAAACATTGTCATTTGAGGAGGGCCAAATATATCTCTTGATTATTCCAATAATTCCAAGGAACGTAACTACAAGATCATAATTATAGTAACGAAACTTTGTACTAAGCAACTCTTGCTTGACAACGGTATAAGAACCTATACCAAACTGTCACATCATAACATAATAAAGAAGCTGTCAGCCATAAAGTATCATACCTTTCTTATTCATCAGCTTCTGGGCGGTGGGGTAGCCTAGTGGTTAAAGCGTTCGCTCGCCACGCCGAAGACCCGGGTTCGATTCCCCACATGGGTACAATGTGTAAAGCCCATTTCTGGTGTCCCCCGCCGTGATATTGCTGGAATATTGCTAAAAGCGGCGTAAAAGTAAACTCACTCACTCATCAGCTTCTAAAATGCCAAACATTTCACAAGAAGCTTTAAAGTCACAGTCCCCGTCATCCTCTGTATACTGAAACCATTTGAAGGTGTCCCAAGATTCAGTTGTTACAGAAGGGGACATTATAAAGAGACTACTGAATGTGACAGATTATTGTGGAAAATTGTCAATTGAGATGATTTCAAAAGAGCAGAAAAATCAAGAATAACACAGTTTCACCTCAGTGCATGACTGTGCACTCCCAATATATCAACAATCAACAATGTTTCTGTTCAAGACTGATGGGCTGATACTTACAAGAATTATTTTAACGGACTTATCAGTTTCATCAAACCTGATTCAACCCTGAATTTGGTAATAATATTGTTATAAACACTATGACACACCTATACCTTTATCATATACATATATATGTACATTCCGTGTTATAATCTGAGAGCAAAGTGAATGCATGCCATTTGTCACCAGCCCTCTTAAAGATCACTTATTCAAAATATCCACATTTCCACACGCTCAATCATTCCAACCAATTTTCATGCATCCAGTAGTACAGGTACATGTACCATATGATCATGATGACTGTGCTGCAACAAATGGACGAGTTTGATAAGATGGCATGGTATCCGTGTTTGAAAACATAAAATACTGCTAGGCTACAATACGACTCTTCAAGTTTTCATTTGATATACAGCAGCTTTAACTTAAATTCACAACAGGTCGGAATGACAAATATAAATATCGAAACTGCAGGAGGCCTGGCCTGGTGCAAGATTTACCCACCATGGGCCTACTTGTTTTCAGCAATGCTGGGAACCTATTCTGACCAAGAATTAGAGCTGTGACGATATATCGTAGTATCTATAATCGTGATGCTTTATCTGACGATAAATATATCGATACGTTTTTTTCAGATTGTGATATGCATTGTTGACCTTAAAATTGTTAATTTTCGTTAGATGGTGACGGTTATGTCAATATTTCTTGCTATTAAAATAAGATTTCTTTAAAGAAAATAACTGAAGAAAGCATATCGTGATATGCATCGAATCGAATCGTTCAAGATATCGCGATACCTATCATATCGTGACCTTTCTGTATCGTCACACCTCTACCAAGAATACACACCCTGGTATAAACCATGAAAGGAAACATATTGATTCATTGAACTTGAAAATATTTTTAGTGGAGGGGGACAATGGTTGTGTTAACAATTTCACAAGGTCTGCAACATCAATAAGGGTAAAAGCAAGGAATCACATTTCACCACACAAGATGAGGTACAATGCGTTGTGACAAATAGTACTGCAACTTGTGTATGCTAAGCACTTAAGGATTATACAATATATTATGCTAGGGGTATTCTTACCACTGATTAGAAACAAATAATTTGGTTTAGAGGTTCATAATTCATATGACTAGAGTGTATCATCAGTCATTTAGGTCATGACATTGAATCCCAGTTAGATTTACGCAGAAAATATACATGGAGAAACTGCAACATCTGAAAGCTATCCCTGAAAGGCAATATGGTTAAGTTGTTATTAAAAGCATTTCAATACCAAGATAAGTGAACACTTTAATGCATTTGTCCCTTATTACCTAGTATCATGTCACTTGTCATTGGATCCCATGAATGAGCTAATGCATGATCTCAAGTAGCACTTCCTGATTTTGCTTTTCAGTTTCCGACACACTGACCCAAGCCACATAAAACTGTACATATCCAGCTTCATATAGCAAGGCAGCAACACTGAAAGGTCACGCTAAGATTGTGCCCATAGCTGGGTCAGCCTCATGTTTGACAGGTCAGGTAGCAAGAAGCTTGACAGCATTCACTCTGTATACTGTATCTAAAATATATCATAACAATCGGTTTTTTGTATATGCACATAACTTATCTTTTTCAGAAATGTAGGAAACAGATAAATCAAATCAATGATTACAGCTGTCTTGCTAAAACATGAATCATTGTTGTCATGTATCATTCAGATTTGTGTATTGTGTTTGAGCACCTATTTTTTCACACCCCTTGAGCCATTTTTCCCCATATCATGGTCATTTAATCAAATATAAACAATTCCTAGAACGCATTTCTTCATTGACAAATATGCAGTAGAACCAAGTCATAGTTTTAATGACAGAAGGTACAACATTCCACTTTTATCTGAGGGATCAGAAGCATAAATTATCATAAATGCCTTATTTGAAGAGTCACGTGAAACTTACCAAACTCAACAAAATCTGATATATTTTTCTCTTTACGCAGAGTAGAGTTTGTGCACTCATCGTAGAGGGTGACAAGCACGTCAAGAAGGGTCTCGACGCTGACAGTATAGCCATCACTAGCTGAAGCGCCTTGCAGATACAGCTGTTCCAATGCTTTCAACCTCTCTTCCGCAGACATCGCTGGTCTTCGCACGAGATCGTGTAGACCTGCGTAATCCCCGGGCACGAGTTCTACACCTGTCTAGGGAGGCACATCATCTCCCAAAGTCGTCACTGACAGTTCCAAATAATGCAATACTTTACTGCAATAATCCAACTTTCCTTACTTTAGATCAACGAAGGCATCATTCCTATCGAGAGACTTGACACCTTGAAAAGATAGACCACTTCCTCTACAAAATACCATTGCTTTCTTCGTTTATAAGCGTCTCAGCGATGATCAAACCTGCTCATTTGAATTATCCGTTATTCTCCTTAATGCTTCCGCACATTGTGTGTCCCTCCTGGTTACAATTTTCGGCCAGGAAGCCTTTAATATTGTCTCTTGTCAGTGACTAAAATCTAAGAAACCATGCAAACATGGCTGACAAGGTGCCCCACTGAATCATGGGTACTGCTACGCAGAAGTTAGTATGACGTCATTTCTACATTATGTTAATATAAAGAGAGTGGTCTTCAGAGCGTACACTATTTTTCAATGGGAAAACGAAATTTAGGTCATCACACAATGTTTTCATCCGGATGTTTAAGATAATTACAGTAAAGCATGCTTTTGAGAACAGATTATGGGATGTACAGTGAAAGAAACCCCCAGTGATAACTCAACCCAGTTTCAAGCCACTGCCTGACTAATCCCGTCGCTGAGTTGAGTCACGCTGGTCGAGACGCATGTAGTAGAATCGGAAACTACCGAGCCCCCGTCGCAATCGCTGTACTACAAATGTACTTAGATTTATACTCAAACATTGGGTTTTATTTTGGAGAGGAAGAATAAACTTAAATTCAGGAAGTGGAGTTTAGTATCCAGTTTCCCAGGGGCAAATGCAGGTGGTACAAATACCGAGAATTCGAGGAATATTGATTTCTTGTGTGTGTGTGCGCGCTGTCAAACTCAGCTAAACCTGGAAACTTCCCAAGCCATTCATCTCCTAAAAGTGAATGAAATACAGAATACACGGGAGGTTTACAGACACCGTGTCAGTTGAATTACTCTCCTGTCGCTCGTTGAAATTTGCAATATCCATATGGTGGATTTACATACAACAGTCGATCTTTCTTCACAATACTATTTAAAAGTGGGTTTCACGAAGATGAAAAAAAAAGTACCACTACATATTCAATTTCATTACATGAAAAATACAAAACGCATTAGCTTTACTGACGCTTTTATATAAACGCTCGTGACAACTCCGGAGCTAGATATGTCCCATAAAGTAAGAGATTGTATTATGATATAATTATATCAAATTATAAGCACCCATGCATCTGTGTGTCATCGCGACCCAGACCGATGTACAACATGCAGTTTACCGTTGCCCATGTTATCAACCATTGGATTGTCCACTTTAGAGCCACAGAGAGACGGTCTCATAAATATTGTTACACCATTCCATGTCAGCCAATCACGACAGCGAGTTAAAGCGTACCTGATATAAATTATGTATAGATGTCTATGTACAGTGTATATAATCGGAGTGCTTATCCCGCATGGGATAAATTAAACTTTGACCACGGACTCTTGCGCGATATACACAAGGGGCTTATTGTAAACAAGTGAGTAGAGAATCAATTTGACATTAGTTAGGCGAGGTGTTGGTAGGGGGAAGGGGAGTTCGGGTTAAATTGTTAATTGCAACCTTGGGCGTGTAAAGTGGGTCATATATATATCAGACTGTATACATTTATTTTTTAAATATTCACCTCATGTGCGTACGAGGTGTTCACTTGTTCATAAGCTGCATATTTCCATCATACAGTTCTCTTTGGAAATGTCGGTGGCATGCTTGTTTTCGTGTATGCGTAGACGAGAAGAGTTCTGTGATTTTTTTTTAAAGGGGGGGGGGGGGATTCTTTGCTGGCTGGACCCGTGAAGGTCCGGGTTAGAATATTGATCTTCAGTAACCCATGCTTGTCGTAAGAGGCGACTAACGGGATCGGGTGGTCAGGCTCGCTGACTTGGTTGACACATGACATCGGTTCCCAATTGCGCAGATCGATGCTCATGCTGTTGATCACTGGATTGTCTGGTCCAGACTCGATTATTTACAGACCGCCGCCATATAGCTGGAATATTGCTGAGTGGGGCATAAAACTAAACTCACTCACTCACTTTACTGGCTGAACAGGCACATGGTCTAACATGGCATACTAGGAGCCTTATCAAACTCCCCAACTCCAGCCCCACCCCCCGTAATATCAGACCCCCCAAAAAAACTGCATGAAAAGTCCAAAAGACTGACTGACTGACTGAGTTTTGTTTTACGCCGCTTTTAGCAATATTCCAGCAACATCACGGCGGGGGACACCAGAAATGGGCTTCCCACATTTTACCCATGTGGGGATTCGAACCCGGGTCTTCGGCGTGACGAGCCAACGCTTTAACCATTAGGCTACCCCACCGCCCCAAAGTCCAAAAGAAATGATACATGTGATTCATATAGTCAAGAGACAAACATAGTGTGAGAGTGTCACGAATTGTGGAGTCTTGCGATTGAAATGAAAAGACAGTTGTGTAACTTATCATCAAAATAGCGAGAAGGTCAACTGAACTTTTGTCACATTCTGCAGTGTATATATGTCAGGGTAGAGACTGCGATCTGGTAGGATCGGAGATTCTACCAATATAGACATTGCGATCGGAGTCTCTTTCAGTAGAGATTGCGATTGGAGTCTCTACTGGTAGAATCTCCGATCCTACTAGTAGAGATTGCAATCGGAGTCTCTACTCTGATTATATAGAATAACCTATACAATCGCAATCTCTACCAGTAGAAGCTCAAATCTGATCCTACCAGTAGAGGTTGCAATCTAAGTGAATATTTAGAAAAACAAAATTTATTTTCGTATATTGTAGAATGACACCTTCCATTGAAAAGTGCACACTGTTTGTCCAACTTGATGTTTACAAACAAAATGAAAATAAAACATTGTTACTTTGTTTTCATTTATGATTGTTATTGTAAATAAATATAACTCTAACCCAAATATATATCTGGCCGGTCATTTCCCCACCTTCCTGTTTTTTGTTGTTATAGTACAGTTATGGGATTACGAAAAAGGCTCGATAAGTAAAGTAACTATTGTGATAAATGGTAGAAAAAACTAAAATATTCGACTATGTATGGGTTAATCAAGATGTAGGTTGTATTAACAGTTTTATTTCAAGTTTTAAGGAAAGATATATTGCTATTGATAACCAGTGTTTCTTTGAAAGTATATCAAGTTATTCCAAACTTCGGTTATAAATCTGTTAAAAGTGAAATTAAATGTGAGGATTATTTATTGCTAATTAGTGTACCAGTTTACCGTATTGCACTCTGTAAGCTCCGATGCTCTAATCATCAACTGCTAATCGAGGAAAGACGAAAGATCGGCCTAGCACGGAGCGAAAGATTATGCCCTTTTGCATTGTACCCATTATTGAGTCTGAATATCACTTCTGCTTAGAATGTAATTTTTATAATAATCTTCGTCAGGCCCTGCTCCCAAAGTATTATAACACTTCTCCATCTCTCCATAACTGTGAGAATTGTTGTCATCTTTGTTGTTTGCCACAGATCAATCAGAGTTTCTACGATTTGAATTGGAAATGGTACTGGTAGAATCTCCGATTGTACCAGTAGAGACTCCGATTGCAATCTCTACTGGTAGGATCGGAGATTCTACCAGTAGAGACTCCGATCGCAATCTCTACTGGTAGAATCTCCAATTCTACCAGATCGCAATCTCTACCCTGACATATACATGCATATAGAACATGCAGGTATCCCTGTATCCATGACGGAACTGCAATGATGTTTATTGGTACAGCTCACATGACGCTCTTGGGGATTCTGGGTAAGAATTGGTCCTCATCAACCCATGCTAATGGTTTAAAGAGACGACTTAAAGGATCGGGTGGTGGGATCACAGCCCGGCATCGAGGGACGTTGATAACATCATCACTGGATTGTGTGGTCTAAGTCACAGAGGGATACCGATGAATGCGGCTGTAAACATCACACAAACAAGAAATACTTCACATGCCATTTATTCGCTTGAATATTGCTAAAAGCAGCGTAAAACTCACTCACTCACTTTGGTATACATAAACTAGTGTTGTTTTTGACGTTTTATTAAATTGCAGTTCGTACTGACGAGTGAGTGAGTTTAGCTTTACGCCCTTTTAGCAGAAACATGTGGTTTCTGGTCAAAACATTGTGATTCTAACGTCAAAGTTAAAAACTGAATATATCTTAATTAAGAGTCAGTTGTTATCTCTCGTATATTAACGATGCTTTAAATTGCATGAAATAAAAATAGCAAAATACACAAGACCAAATTTCTGAAAATAGGTTAGGTTGAAAAACGTTTTCAGTATACAATGTATTATCGCATTTTGTTCTCACTCATACGTGAGAGTGATGACATAAAAATGCAAGAATCGTTTGTGTGAATGAATTTGGTTCAATATTATAAGTTTACTATGCATTATAGCATTATGGTCCGTACAGTTTGAGTCAGTTTCTCGCAATAGTTCTGCATCTTCTCATTGTTTATAGACAACAATATCATTGATATTGTTAGATCAGAACACTAGCTGTCATCGTCAAATCAGACTTACGCTCCATACTGATAGTGACAGTTATGACTGAGTTCTCTCCCGGTAATGAAGCACTCAGTCGATAGATGGCGCGCAAAGGAATTTTTTTAACACAAGCTCCATGTCAACGCGTTACAACTTTATCCGCGATAGTATGAGAGGTGAGCGGGAGTGCGTGATATCGCTGTGAGGAGTTTAAGAATGCGTTTCATTGGCCGTTAAATATAGTATCGTGTACTTTCCACATAAACACGGTCACATCTGTAGCGTCGGCGTCAAGTGTCAATTTCATCGTCAAAATATTATACGTAACACAATTCCCTAAGCTATTATGGTATGTACTGATGTATTTTTGATGGCTTTAATGTACAAATCGTGATCTTGAAATGTTTGGAAGTGAATGTCTCACAATACACTAAACGGGATCAAGTCTTTAATTACAAAGACCGATTAGGGTAACTCGTGTCAAATATTGCATCCTTTGGACACATGCTCGTTCCATGACAATACGCACCGTTCATTCAACCATCGGCACGAATAATGACAAATCTAACACAGGTGTTGATTTTACATAAATCGCTAAATGTTCTGTGAAATGTCACAAGCGCACGAAATGGGCGTGTCAAAACATGACCGATCAAGAAGGCTGCTTGTCAACTCCAAAACAGAGTGATTATAATTAATCCTAATTTGTGCTTCTTTTTCGTTTGCCCAAATCTTATCGCGAATCAGTAATATTTTTTTCATCCTCATACAGTATGAACCATCCTTACTCTTGTGAAATTATATTAACTTTGTCCTAATAACACTTTTTGTAGAACCAATCCAGTGTTTAAATTTAATACCATGGTCAGTCTTAAGAAAACGATGTTTCCATTAGTTGAGACAGAGTAAGTACCAGTGTGTCGTACTGGTGAACATCTGGGTTTGGTCTTCAGCAACCCATGCTTGTCATCAAGAGGCGACTAATGGAACGGGTGGTCAGACTCACTGACTTGGTTGACACGTATTCCAGTTGCATAGATTGATGCTCATATGTTGTTGATCACTGGAATGTCCAGTCCAGATTTGAACAACAACAAACAATTCCAGTGTGGAGTTCATTTGCAGTATACATCTAAACAATGTAACATAACAACTGCATCTTTGTTGTTAATTCATATATCGCTATTTGTTATGCTACTTAACAGATAAACTGTGGTAAAGCCACCTGTTACACTTGAACATATTTTCTTTCACAGGACGTTGATGAAGAAACAGTAGATCATGGACATATTCTGTGGTTACCTGGTGATCTATTATTGGAGATATTTTCATATCTGGAAGCAGCATCCTTGAGTTCTGCAGGCTTGACTTGCAAGACATGGGCATCACTTATCAGTCAGTCAGAAACACTATGGAAAACAAAGACTCAGCTGATCTCTGATAGAGATGCTCAAAAATATATCCTCCAGTCAAAATCAGAAGGGAACTCATGGAAGGTTGGTTAACATTTTAAATTTTTTTACTGCTTACTTATAAGAACTGACCAATACGTCTGGCATTTATGGTGATATGAAGGTAAAAAAGCAGTGCACACTTTGCATGCATCCTTATGGGCTCTTACCTCCATCAACACCAAAACATATTGAAGGAGATTCTCAGATACATAAAACAAATGAATGCCTATGGAAAGGTAGCATATTGTTTATAGGTTATGACATCACCAAACTGCACCACATTGCCTAAAATAAAAATAACATATTCTTTTTCTATATGATTTATATGGAAGAGTGTTTAAGCAAAGTCTGTTTGAAAAATATATATTTACATCATTCTGTGCCTCGTGAAACATAGGGTACAGCAACCTACCTTTTATGTTTAACTTTGAGCATGGTCAGATTAATTATGAAAAATTTGCTGTTTAAAGTTTACATGCCCCCTTCACCTACTTACTGTACAGAATGAGTAATACTAAACTTGTGTAAATGAATTACAGGGCTCAAGATGTGAGTTGAAATAGAGTTTTAATCTCACATTTAAGATTTTTCCAGTTACATAGCATAAATATGTGTATGTATGACTGCTTGTACTCATGCCAGCCCACTGATATAACATGATTATAATGTACACCCTGCTCATACACATAATGCCAACACCAGGCAGCATAAGAATAAGTACCTCAATTTGACATCTTTATGTGTGACATGACTGGGGATTAACATCAACATTCCACTCTCATACTGAAGTTTCCCTAATCAAGGAGGCAGTCAACAAGGATGGAAAAGGTGTACTAAAATACCTGTCTGTGAGATTCCCTTCCATTTTGGCATGTAGCAATATGCATGTATAGGCAGCAATCCATTGTTTCACAAAATTACAACTGATTGTTCCAGGAGTCCTTTCAGATGAATTATGGAAGCAACTTGATTAGACATAAATGGAAGCGGGGTGAGTTCAGTAAACCCAAAGCCATGGTGGATCTTCCCCCAAAGGTCCTGTGTCCAATGACTGCTGACACCTGGGGTGAAATATTTGAAATGGAGCTGGAAAGATGAGGAAGCAACAATAAGGATGCCTGATATCTGTAAGGACAATGGTGCCACCAGCCAGCAAGAATGTGCTTGTCCGCCTTACACCTCATGATTGTGTATCAACAAGGAGAACCAAGCAATGCGTTTGTAGCTTGACAGTGTGGATCAGTTGCATTTGTTACTCAGATAATTTGGACAACTGAATGAAATATGTTTCTGTTTCCATGCTTATCAAGGATCAGGATGGATGTATGTCCAGCATTTACATTTTAATGTTGAATGTCATACCAGTGATTTCGATGTCTGTCAAATGTACATTTTACCTCGTAATTATCACATTGTGGGTACATATATGAAGATGTTACCCTTGTTTCGTATTTGTAAATCTTGTTAGCCACCCAAATTTCTTTATGTCCTCCTTTTGTGTGATATTTTAATTTTAACCTTCCAATGACATTCTAGTTTTAATCAGCCCCCTTATTAGCATTTTTTTTTTATCCAAGAGGGATGTATTTATCTTAGGCTTTCTGGCGAATGTGTGTCTGTTACAGTATGATCTTTTTTAATGAAAGTTTGTATCTACCCAAGTGGTACCAATGGATAATGTGAACAGTCTATAATATTTATATGATAGTTACTATCCGTTTTATCAGATGCATTGTACATATGAATTTATATAATATATTTATTTAATTAATTTATTGATATCTTTGTTGTAGAGCAACATATTTGTTATTTGGTGGTTTTATTTATTTTTAGTCATTATAAAATAGAATTGTTATCATTGAAGATTTTGGCAATCAGGGAACAAGATTAAATGATAATACAACATGATTTAATATATGCTATAAGATTTGTCGTTCCTCTCAAAATAACATGTTTAACATATTAATATCATCAAGTGACATGACATAAATCTATACATTTCTGAGTGGTACAGCAATACTGATCTTAGTAGGAAAACAATATTGTCTTAGATTTACACTGAAATTATGTCCAGAATTGGGTGTTACTTCACCAGACTGAAGTATTGTAATCCGATATTTTCAGACAAAATAGTACTGTACTACTCTTCAGACCTGAGACATAATAATGAAATCTATTGTTGATGTAAATTTGTTTAATAAGTTTCATACATATTGTTACATGAATAAATACTAAATGTAAAAGTATTTTTTACTGTTGGTCTTTGTGTTTTTTTGTTTTTTTCCACCTTCACTATTAGTCTATTAGTGAGCAGAGCGAGAACTATAGTGTGTTTTCGTTTTTTTGTTGTTGTTTAATGCTGCACTCAGCAGTATTCCAGCTAACCATCAGCAAAAAATAATCAAATCTGGACCAGGCAATCCAGTGATCAACATAACAAGCATCGATGTACAAAGTTGGGATATGATGACATGACCAAATCTACCCCGGATCTTCATGAGTGACTTCATTATACTGTTATATACAGTAACTTGAGCAAGGGGTACTGAGCTGACAAAATCAGAAACATCATCGTGGCACACCTGCATCATTAATTAGGCCTGGCTATTGATATAGACCATAGAAATCGATAATTGTTACCTAAATATTGATCCATTATTAATAATTATATACTCGCCCTTGGAAGATACTGCAGTGTAATATTTTTAAGGCAATATTCCACTAGTGTAATACCGCTAGACGTATGACATCATAATGGTTACACTTATGACATCACAATGCTAATAACTCTGGCACAAAGGTATTAGACCTTGCTTGACTTGTGGAAAGCTGAAAGTCATCACACTTCGTAGACAGTTTCTATCAGTTTATGTTGGAGAGTAATAAACAGAATACTAAACTCGCTTCCGTGAAATACCATTTTTATTAAACTCGTGAAAGATTTAGCATCAAACTCGATTTCGCTCGTTTGATACCAAATCATTAACTCGTTTAATAAAAATGGTATTACACGGAAGGTCATTTAGTATCTTATTTTAGTATTAAATAAGACTGTAAAAATGAGGAAAGGTCAGAAATAAATAAAAATATTTAACATCACTGGTGAGGTGAGTGGTGACACATTCATGCTTGGATTACTAACAAAGTTCTAAAAATATTGTATTCAATCTGTCAATCATGATTGCATTTCATCTTTGGTTAAGTCTGTTTTGGTGAATTATTTCGTCACAATAGTTAATGAAAGGGAATATTGGCAAAAGATTTCCATAACTATAATCATTCAAAATTCTTCCCACTGATGTTACAGCCCGGCTTGCCCAAGGGATGCAACTCTGCAAAGCAACACATGTGTGTTCATTCTGCAAAGCAAATAGGGACAACTGGTGCACCCATGCCCAAATAGCGACAAGACACCAATGAAAGTGAATGGGTTTTATTCTTTTTGTTCTTAACATAATGCCTACTTCACAGTAGGTCATATAATGGGTTAACCAGTGGTTGATACTGTGAACATGATCCAGTCAGTGTGCGAAATAGTTTCAAAATTTTGCTAGCCAGTCGGGCTAGCTATGCCTGAAAGTTAATAGCCCACAAAATAATTCACTAGCCCGATATTTAAATGTAGAATTAAGCAAAAGATTACAAAAAAAGATGAGAATAAGACATTGTCGGCATGACACAGGTTTCATCATTAAGCTGCCAATTAGGCCAGAATCTTGCATGATTTAAAAGTGCATTATAACTTAACAAGTCGGAGAGAGTGATATATTTACAACATGACCCCATGAAATTCACTAGCCAGTCGGGCCAGTGACTGTGGAAATTTACTGGCCCATAGGATTTTTACTAGCCATGGGCAGGCCAATGGCTATTTCGCACACTGGATCCAGTCGTGGTACAACATACAATCAGTGAAGTTAGAGACTATTCATGTTTCATTGAGATCAACGATCATGAACAAAAAAGGGTTAGGGATCATAAATACATTTGGGGATATTGTTATGAAATTGCATGCTCAGTCTTCACAACCTAATAATAATAATCCCCAAACCCTTTTTGTCCAGTATACAAGTATTTAAATTCTTCTCAATATAGCAGCTTAAATAGCTTAACAAACTGTTTTGTATAATTCTTCACCATAAGCATGATCAGATGTATACACCATAGTGTAAAAGAGTTTTCTTTTGTTTGTTGTTAACACACTCAGCAATGTTCCAGCTATAAGTTTTGACCTGAAATAGAGTGGATATGATGCCACCAAGCAACCAGGTTACCTGGCCTGACCACCTCATCCATTCAATAGCCTTTTGGGACCAACTCTAGTTTGGAATTGTCCTGAAATATAGTGCCAAAAATGTAAATGTCTACATTGTTTTGGATCTATTCCAAAGCTGAATTGAGATCATTCGTTACCATTCTGGTTTTACAGAGAATCCTCATAAGGGACTGTTCATAATTTATGGCTAAGGGGGGTGATGATGATTTTTATGGAGAAGCATGTACAATTTAAATGAACCCCCCCACCACCCTAAATTTTTTTTGTAAAAGAACGTGTACAAAAACCCCCTGTATGTCATGTACAAAATCAATGACCCCCTCCCCTTCCCATAATTTCTAAAGCATATTTTTGTATTATTATTATGTACAAATTGCTACCCCCTCTAGTACATGTGTACAAAATTGCTAACCCCTAGTACATGTGTACAAAATTGCTAACCCCCAGTACATGTGTACAAAATTGCTAAAAAAACCCCCAGTACATGTGTACAAATTGCTACTATCCCCCATGTGAACAATTATATGTACATGTGTGTTCATAATTGCTGGACCCTATAGTACATGTGTACAAAATTGCTAACCCCCTAGTACATGTGTACATGTACAAAATTGTTAAATTGCTAACCCCTCCCCTAGTACATGTGTGTAATTGCTACCCCCTAGTACATGTGTGTACAAAATTGATGACCCCCACTACCTCCCCAGAACAAAATGGGTGACCCCCTTAAAATCATCATCACACACCCCCAGCCATATATTATGAACAGTCACTAAATCTGGATGGAACAGCTGATATAATTGTTTGGGTTACCAGATTGGATGGGAGAAATGTTCCTTTGGTATGTGGCAACTTTCTCATCAATACCAGAAGGTCAGGCCACTGAGTGCACAAGGTTTGACAGTGTTTCTGTGTAATAGTCTTCCAAGTTCTTAGGCAGTTGAACATCTGTCAGGCCTGTGTTCAATAAATACATTCATGTCTTGAATAAATAAATATTTACAATGATTCACCAGAATAAGTACAGATGTCTTCTGCCGTAAGTCCACAGCAGCTAGATAGTGCCAAAAGTTATCACATATCACACAATCCTCTTCAATCTAAGGGCAGGTTTCTGGTCCCTGAGACCCTTACAGGGTTGTGACTGGACTGTCCTGGTGACATAAATCACTGGTACACAGCAATATAAACTTCTAGGCCTGAACCCAGACTTTCACATCATAAAGGCTCAATCATGCTGCTCTCACCCTCTTAGGTTCATCTGAGCCACTAAGTTCCAGGCCTGAACCCAGACTATCACACCATGTAGGCTCAATCGTGCTGCTCTCACCATCTCAGGTTCATCTGTGCCACAAAGTTCCAAGCCTGAACCCAGACTATCACACCATGTAGGCTCAATCGTGCTGCTCTCACCATCTCAGGTTCATCTGTGCCACAAAGTTCCAAGCCTGAACCCAGACCCCACACATTATACAGGTTCCATCTCTACTATCTCGGGTACATCTGCACCACACATTTCCTGAGTGTGCTCATATACCTCTCCCACACTGGCTGAAGATGAGGAGAGCCCCTGCAACACCAACATTACATTATACTTCATTACTTACATCATAACACACACACCTTGTATATATAAACTTCAGAAACTTGGAAGACAAAGGTGACCATTTATCCTAGGAACACTTTGTCTCTCTCTCTCACACACACATGCACATATCCTAGGAAGACTTTGTCACTCACTCTCACTTTTCTCTCTCTCTCTCACACGCACGCACACACACACACACACACACACACACGCACGCACACCCCCTGTTTTCCACAATACAGAATGCTCCCAAAATACAAATAAGTTTTATTATAATTATCATAATCAGAAACTAAGATTCCATACTGGGAATACAAACTGGAATATGAGCAGTTAAAGCTTCTACCACCACGGCTACTCCTTACACTGGACATGGAAGAGGATCTCAAACTGCCCTACACATTTTTTCACAACAGCACCTGTTGAATAGTTTAACATTGATATTACCTTATGAATTCCATGGATGCAGCTGCTGTCTTGTAGGCTGTGAGGGATGCTTCTACATCAGACCGAGACCAGTTGTTCTGAAGACAGGGCTCTATCAACTACAAGTGAGTGTCAGGTTGATGAGGGGGTGAATACCGAAGTGAAATATGTATGACACTTTTGTCATAATTAAAACCAAATTCATGCTTTTTGTAGATCAAAATGTAGACTACTCATAATAGATACAGGCAAATGTCACACAAGGGTAAATAACGAAGTTCCACTCACATAATATTTTCAAACAATGTCTACTAACTTGATGTAAAGGTCCACTGCAGAAGCGATGAGCACTTACCTTTTCATAGAAATCAAGGAAAATATCCTTGGATTCTCTGCTGTGGTTAAGACCATATGCAATATTCAAGATATTTTTGGAATAATTCTGAAATATAAATGTTAGGATTACTTATCTGACTGAATAATATTTGTTCACAATTAGTCAATTGCTTGTTTTACCAATGTGGTCTCTGGATTTTGATCATATTTTCGTAAATATCACTTACAAAATAACTGCACCACCAGGTTGTGCAGTAATCTTGCACAGAGCAATTTTATTTCCTCCCATTCCACCTTTACAATCCCACTTTATTTTATGCGCCATACCATGCTCCTAATCCATTCTTTAACAAAGCCAATCTTGGCGATTCCATCTTCTCTCATGGTTTTAGATCGCCATGATCTTAGCGCTTCATCGATCCTCTTCCAACTGTGGAGGTGCTGAATTCCTTAAACTCGATTCCTGTCTACAGTTGTCTTCAAGTGCGCATAGCATACCGCGCAAATAGAGAGTGATACTGGTCCCTGCACACAACACATACCCTTTCCTCACTTGTTTGCAGAATATTCCATCCATGATTCAAACATTCCAAGAAATCCTTCCTTCCAGACACGCGGCTATAGCATATATTTTCTACATTTTAACTGTCTTGATTTATGAATTGCGAATCCATATTTCAACCATCGGAAATACGCACGCATGTTTTATGAAAATATTGAACTGCGAAAAATACATTCATAAATTTGGGTCTAGATTTAGTGACTTAATAATTATGAAAATTATAATAATATATCAAATATCGACAATATTTACTTATGATATAACACCTAAATGCATATGATTTGCCACTGGTTGTCAATGGGACATTGTTTAATGCACAGCTGTTTTTTTTTTCCTTTTGTTTTTGTGTGTGTAAAATCAAAAATATACCCTAGAAGTATTGGTTTTCTCACAATATAACCAGAAAATGTAATATAGCTACAGAAGTGTTGTAAAGGAATGCATGACAGGGAAATCTGAATATCAAATAATATATCGAGAGAGCAGTTGTTAAATACTCATTCACAGTATATTAATGATATGACCCTATTAGATTGATAAATATTTTTCTAAAAGTGAAATTAAAATTGAATCTCTGATTTTGCACGTTAACTTGATTACTTTAATGATTAACTAAGACAAAATCACTCCATCACGAAAAGAAAATATCTTGAGCTCTGCCATTGGGCATGACAGACTCTCACGGCAACGGCATAAGCCAGGGAAACCACTCCCATCTTGCCCATAAACTAAAATTATCTGCTCTTTGAGTTAATGAAAAGGTCACGCCATTGTTACATACGCACGCGGACACCATTTGCTAGTATCCTTCCTTGATTATCGAAAGGGTATGTTGTTTCACACGTATTCCAACATTGAATCGGGTTGGGAATAGTACTTTGTTTTTCGATTTCGATAGTTCTGTGGTTCACTACAGCAAATAACAATGTATCCGGGACGTTAAATCGGTTGTGCATTCTCCGTGTTGTTGAAGTGTCGAGGCTTAATCATACAGTACAGTTTTTTATGCAATATAAAAGCACGCCATCTCCAAACGTAAAGCTAATTATTTGCGTGAAACTTGAACACCATTTTGTCACAGACTACAATGATCTTAGCTCCTTACAATTGGTCCGGACCAATTGTAAGTTTCGATTGTAACTTACAACGGTCTTAGCCTACAATCGCTTTGTGCAAGTCGATGGCGATTGTAGCCGAAGCCTAAGATCGCGATCTTAAGGATTTACAATAATTGTAGCGCTAAGATCGTTCTGTGCAAGTGGGCCCAGATCATTAAGCATTCTCTAACCATCATTCCAAGTTGTTACACTTTGTTTGCTGTAACTACAATGGTATGCTGAGTGAGTTTAGTTTCGTGCCGATTTTAGCAATATTTCATCAATATCGTGGCGGGGGATGCCAGAGTGAGTGAGTTTAGTTTTATGCGGCTTTCAGCAATATTTCATCAATATAATATAGGTGATGCCAGGTAGGTGAGTTTAGTTTAGTTAGGGATGCCGGAAATGGGCTTCACACATTGCACCCATGTGAGTAATCGAACACGAATCGAATCATATTCGGTGAGACTAGCAAACGCTGCACACTATGTGTGGTTACAGCTGTGATACACAACAAAAATGGGGCTAATTACTTCTCCCATCTGAATTTTAAATAGTTATTTCTATCCAATTTCACTTGAAATTCAAGAGTAATTTCAGTAACAAACAGATTAAATTAGGACAAACAAAATGGTAAAAGTCTCTTATATATTCTTAGAATAAATACATTTACGATTGGTAAGTTGTGCAATCTACCAAGCTGAAAATGGCCACATGACAAATTATAGTGACACTCACCTTGAAATTGGACTCCAAGTCACTGTATGCTCTGTCAGAGAGTTTACTTTTCACAGATTTGAGAAGCAGCCTGTGGACAAATTGTAACTTTAAATGTATTGATAGCATAACATATTTTTCAATTACAAGGTCAGTTAGGTACACCTTTCTTGCATATGTTTGAAAATAACTAATCACTCTACACCCTCACCCTTTATGTTCCTCACAGTACACCCTCAGCCCATACACCTTCACCCCTTATGTTCCTCACAGTACACCCTCAGCCCATACACCCTCACCCTTTATGTTCCTCACAGTACACCCTCAGCCCATACACCCTCACCCTTTATGTTCCTCACAGTACACCCTCAGCCCATACACCCTCACCCTTTATGTTCCTCACAGTACACCCTCAGCCCATACACCCTCACCCTTATGTTCCTCACAGTACACCCTCAGCCCATACACCCTCACTCCTTATGTTCCTCACAGTACACCCTCAGCCCATACACCCTCACCCTTTATGTTCCTCACAGTACTCACCCCTCAGCCCATACACACCCTCACCCCTTATGTTCCCTCACAGTACACCCTCAGCCCATACACCCTCACCCTTTATGTTCCTCAGTACACCCCAGTACACCCTCAGCCCATACACCCTCAAGCAGTACACCTCCTCCTTATGTTCCCTCACAGTACACCCTCTCAGCCCATACACCCTCACCCCTTATGTTCCCTCACAGTACACCCCTCAGCCCATACACCCTCACCCTTATGTTCCTCACAGTACTCCCTCAGCCCATACACCCTCACCCTTATGTTCCTCACAGTACACCCTCAGCCCATACACCCTCACCCCTTATGTTCCTCACAGTACACCCTCAGCCCATACACCCTCACCCCTTATGTTCCTCACAGTACTCCCTCAGCCCATACACCCTCACCCTTATGTTCCTCACAGTACACCCCTCAGCCCATACACCCTCACCCCTTTGTTCCTCACAGTACACAATTCCTCAGCCCATACACCCCTCACACCCTTATGTTCCCTCACAGTACACCCTCCTCACCCCTCTTATGTTCCCTACACACCCTCACCCCTTGTGTTCCTCACAGTACTCCCTCAGCCCATACACCCTCACCCTCCTCAGCCCATGTTCCTTATGTTTCACAGTACACCCTCAGCTCATACACCTCACTTTGTTCCTGCACCCTCAGCCCCACCCTCATACATGTTCCTCAAAGTACACCCTCAGCCCTCACCTCCTTATGTTCCTCTCACAGTACACCCTCAGCCCATACACCCTCACCCCTTTTATGTTCCTCACAGTACACCCTCAGCCCATACACCTCACCCTTTATGTTCCCTCACAGTACACCCCTCAGCCCATACACCCTCACCCTTTATGTTCCTCACAGTACACCCTCAGCCCATACACCCTCACCCCTTTATGTTCCCTCACAGTACACCCCTCAGCCCATACACCCCTCACCCTTTATGTTTCCTCACAGTACACCTCAGCCACCCTCATTCCCTCCTTATACACCTCACCCCCTTATGTTCCCTCACCTTATGTTCCCTCTCTCCATCAGCCCATACACCTCACCCCTTTATGTTTCCTCACAGTACACCCTCAGCCCATCACCTCCCTTATCACCCACAGTACACCCTCAGCTCCATACATCACACCCCTTTGTGTCCTCAGGCAATTCCCCCTACTTCCATGGTTCCTCACCCCTGTGTTCCTTCACAGTTCTACAGTACTCCTTCACCCCTTGTGTTCCTCCTTCCCTACTCCTCCCATGTGTTCCTCATCACACCCTCCTTCTCCCCTCAGCCCAGCACACACCTTTACACCCTCACCTTGTGTTCTACAGTTTCCTCACAGTACACCCTTCTCCATCAGCCCTCTCAGCCCTACACCCTTGTGTTCCTCACAGTACTCTCCCTTCACTCTCACCCCCTTGTGTTCCTCACCCCTTGCCCTATTTCCTCTCACCCCTTGTGTTCCATCTCCTTCTCCATCAGCCCTTCACCCTCACCCCTTGTGTTCCTCACACAGTCCATCACCCCTCCTTCCTCCATCCATCAGCCCCTCACACCCTCAGTAGCACCTTGTGTTCCTCACCCTCGGAACTCCTTCTCCATCAGCCTTCACCCTCACCCCTTGTGTTCCTCACAGTACTCCTTCTCCATCAGCCCCTTCACCCTCACCCCTTGTGTTCCTCACAGTACTCCTTCTCCATCAGCCCCTTCACCCTCACCCCTTGTGTTCCTCACAGTACTCCTTCTCCATCAGCCCCTTCATCACCCCTTCACCCCTTGTGTTCCTCACATGTACTCCTTCTCCATCAGCCCCTTCACCCTCACCCCCTTGTGTTCCTCACAGTACTTCTTCTCCATCAGCCCTTCACCCTCACCCCTTGTGTGTTCCTCACCTTCTCCATCAGCCCCTCACCCCCCCTTGTGTTCCTCACAGTACTCCTTCTCCATCAGCCCCTTCACCCTCACTCACCCCTTGTGTTCCCTCACAGTACTTGCCTCCTTCTCCATCAGCCCCTTCACCCTCACCCCCTTGTGTTCCTCACAGTACTCCTTCTCCATCAGCCCCTTCACCCTCACCCCTTTCATGTGTGCTCCTTCTCCAGTACTCCTTCTCCATCAGCCTCCTCCATCAGCCCCTTCACCCTCACCCCTTGTGTTCCTCACAGTACTCCTTCTCCATCAGCCCCTTCACCCTCACCCCTTGTGTTCCTCACAGTACTCCTTCTCCATCAGCCCCTTCACCCTCACCCCTTGTGTTCCTCACAGTACTCCTTCTCCATCAGCCCCTTCACCCTCACCCCTTGTGTTCCTCACAGTACTCCTTCTCCATCAGCCCCTACACCCTCACCCCTTGTGTTCCTCACAGTACTCCTTCTCCATCAGCCCCTTCACCCTCACCCCTTGTGTTCCTCACAGTACTCCTTCTCCATCAGCCCCTTCAGTTCCCTCAGCTGCAGGAGGAAGTCCCTGTCAAGGTCCACATCCATATCCTCATGTTCTGTACATTCTGCAACAGCCAGGATGGTGATTGAGTGCTTACTAGTCAGCTTCATTTACAGTACTCCTTCTCCATCTCTAAATGCCCTTCAAACATTTTGAGCTTCATGAACAGTTTGTAGATGGTGTTTATATATCACCATCTACACCCAGGATCAGTTAACACAGGGTGGAACCCTTGTATATCACCCAGCTATAGAGCTTTATAAACAGCCAGCTAACAGGGTGAAAGAGGGTGAGTATATCAGCCACTCATGAAGATCCGGGCTCGACATAAGAGGCGACTAACAAGATCGCTGACCCAAATGCACAGATTGATGCTCATGATGTTGATCACTGAATTGCCTGGTCAAGACTAGATTATTTATCATTTTACAGACTGCCGCCATTTAACTGGAATATTCTCGTGCATGGCGTTAAACAACAAACAGACACAAATCTATAGGACCAGGCAGCTAACAGGATGAAGTCCTTATGTATCGCCCACCTATAGAGCACACAGTATGCAGTTCTTATATATCATCCACCTATAGAGATATAGGAGTGAGTGAGTTTGGGTTTTACGCCAGCCACTTTTAGCAATATTCCAGCAATATCATGACAGGGGACACCAGAAATGGGTTTCACACATTGTACCCATGTGGGGAATCAAACCCAGGTCTTCGGCATGATGAGCTAACGCTTTAACCACTAGGCTACCCCACCGCCCTAAATATACAGGAACAGCTAGCTGACAGGGTGAAGTCCCCTATATCTAACATCCACATTGTGGTAAGGTGAGATAGTACACAGACTCAAGTCCTCATATATATGACTCACCGACAGAGCTGTAGGACCAGTTAGCTATCATGTTAGTCAACTATATCTAACATCCACATTGTGGTAAGGTGAGATAGTACACAGACTCAAGTCCTCATATATATGACTCACCGACAGAGCTGTAGGACCAGTTAGCTATCATGTTAGTCAACTATATCTAACACCCACATTGTGGTAAGGTGAGATAGTACACAGAGTCCTCATATATATGACTCACCGACAGAGCTGTAGGACCTAGCTAACATCATGACATAGTATGACATAGGACCACTCACAGAGCTGTAGGACCAGTTAGCTATCATGTTAGTCAACTATATCTAACATCCACATTGTGGTAAGGTGAGATAGTACACAGACTCTAGTGCTCATATGTATGACTCACCGACAGAGCTGTAGGACCAGTTAGCTATCATGTTAGTCCCCTATATCTAACATCCACAGTAAGGTATAGGTGCTACACAGACTCTAGTCCTCATATGTATGACTCACCGACAGAGCTGTAGGACCAGTTAGCTATCATGTTAGTCCCTATATCTAACACCCACATTGTGGTAAGGTGAGATAGTACACAGACTCAAGTCCTCATATAATGACTCACCGACAGAGCTGTACGACCAGTTAGCTATCATGTAGTTAGCACACAGTGTGAAGTCCTTAAACTCCAGGTACAACAGCTTTTTCTTTCCTGTTTCGAATCTGTTGTTAGTGATAAACACTATTGCTGCATAGCTCCTGGAAAGGGATTCAAAACCTTAAATTAACCTTCAACAGTGAGTGAGTGAGTGAGTGAGTGAGTGAGTGAGTGAGTGAGTGAGTGAGTGAGTGAGTGAGTGAGTGAGTGAGTGAGTGAGTGAGTGAGTGAGTGAGTGAGTGAGTGAGTCGTGAGTGAGTGAGGGAGGGAGGGAGCAAGCTAGCCAGCTAGCTCGCTCGTTCGTTTGTTCGTTAGTTTAGTTTTATGCCGCTTTTAGCAATATTCAAGCAATATCAAGGCTGAGGAAACCTGAAATGGGCTTCACACCTGTCATTTAGAATGCCCCTTGTTAAACTCTTCCACACTGCATTATTAAGCAACACATTCAGAGTTTAAGATTTCAGGTTCTTGTAAGCAACATACTGATTGTTGGATGAAATGTCGTGATCTGTAAAGTGATGCCTTTGTGTAGCCACAGCAAGTACACTGATATGATATTAATGAGATTAAGGCAATTTGAGAAAAGAAAATCATTTGTTTGAAAGTCAGAATTTCATCATATTTTCCCATCTCATAAACCAGTTGACAGTACAAGCAGTGAAGACAAAATTACCTAGCTAGTTCCTCAGACAGGAGATAGTGGGTCCGGATGTTCTCCACAAGGGAACCTTTCATCTCCTCCACAGTCTTAAACACACGCTTCACGTTGTCAAACTGAAAAATAGGCAGACACTACAGCTCAGTGTCTTCATGTTTCAAATGAATGTGAGTGAGTGAGGGTGCCTGAGAGTCAGGTAGAGTCAGTGAGTCAATGACTCAGTATGTCCTTATTCAGTAACTTTGCAGCTTTACTATGAGTGAGTATGTTTATGCCGCTTTTACTAGTGAGTTTTAGCAATATTCCAGCATTATCATAGCAGGGGACACCAGATATGGGCTTCACACATTGTACCTATGTGGAGAATCGACCCCATGTCTTCAGCATGATGAGCGAACACTTTAACCACTAGGCTACCCCATCGCCCAGCTTTACTATGAAGTGAGTTAAATAATCAAAAATATACCAAACCAGTGGTTAATAGCATGAACACAAATCCATGACATCATGGTCTCATCACACATAATTATTTTACTGAGAGGAATCAACATTATCTGTTCTCAAAACAAAGATGAATTGCTTGGGGTTCATTCTTGCCCTGGAAGCTCCACAGTGAATAATGGATCCTGTTTCTATTTAGTTCAAACACTGAATCTTTACTTTATCTGTCGTATTAAGCAGTCTAGGGGGCTTCAAAACACAACAATGAATATGACGATTTAAACCATACAAACTAAAGTATATTGTGAGAGATTGAGGGGTTGGAAATGTATATTTAGTGCATCAATAAAACAAAAAAATATTCCATTATGGTTACCAGACAGTTATATAGCCATTTTACATTGCTGTTTTCTGTACAAGTTTGTCATATGCACAAAAATATATCACTGTAATGCAAATTTTCAAGCAAACACAGGGTGAGACAACCTACTTGTTTCTGCAAACTCCCTACAGTGTTACAACACAGCGAATATTGTTTCGTGTAACATACCTGTCTCCGACAACTCCGTAACATGACCCCAGTCTTCTCACTCACATCATCAAGGTCCTTCCGGTGTCGGGAGTTCAGCTTCTTTCCTAGTATCTCCCGAATTACAGGTGCGTCGATCTGGTAATATCTGCCAAGTTAAGCATGTACATGGTAGTGTTACTTTGGAAACAAAACAAAGTTAAACACACACTAGTGCACATCTTATAAAAACCACTGCATTTCTTTCCACTGTCATGAAGAGAAGTGAAAAAACCCAATGATGTCATTCTTTATGGTTTGTTTTGTGCCTTATGCAGTCAGAAATATTTCAATACATATTATTATATTCCCCAACCATTGAGTTATCAGAGTTAGGCTACACAGCCTGTAAATACAGAAAATATGGGAGTGTAAAGACCTCCCTTACTTTCATGGGGGGATGGGTGGCCTAGTCATCTATTTTACTGTCCAGAGTTGCATCCCTTGGGCACATCAGAATATTCATGCTTGTGAGTTTCAATAAAGTGGGAAATATTTCAGACCTGCATTACTTCTGGTTTTCCTACTGGAATACCCTTCGGGAATTTAACAGCATGAAACAAAACTCAGTTATTTAATTACAAACACTAGGCTTAAACAAGGGCCATTAATATGTTAAACACTGCAGAGTGAGTGAGTGCGTATACACATGTATGGTTTTACACTGCTTTTAGCAATATTGCAGAAATATCACAGTGTGGGACACCAGAAATGGACATTTAACATTGAACACATGTGGAGTATCGAACCTAGGTCTTCGGCATGATGAGTGAACGCTTTAACCACTGGGCTATCTCACCGCCCCTAAAAAGTGAGTGAGTATGGTATGACTGAGTATACAAGCAAACAGTTCAACCACTAGGCCACCCCACCACCCACAGCCTTTACAAATGTGACATATGTTGAACTGTACTTTTCAATGAGCATTGTCTGTGTATCTGCATTGATCTGGTATATATGTTGATCCCGTAGTTTATCAGGGCTCTTCACTAGTTTCTCGAGACTAGTAAAGAGGCGATAATTATCCTGTGTATCACTCAACAAATCCTCAAACGTGGCATTGTACTTCTTCAAGACTCCCTGTTTTTGCAGCACATTGGCTGCCTCAGATACTGAAATCATAAAAAGATTTATACGTACATAGCGGCGACTTAGCCAAGAGCCATGATGAGGTCCTACAGTCAAGACATGACCCCTTCTTGGAGGAATATGTTTTATATATCTCAAGAAAAGTGATGCTTTTCACGCAATGTTGGATCATGTCTTGACTGTAGGACCCCATTGCGGAAATTGGCTACTGGTGATTGTACTCAGCTCATCATCGAAATCAAGTTTTATTGCTTTAAATAACATAGCAATAATTGCGTACCAAATTGCACAGAGACAATTAGATACGGCACCTCATTCTAAACACTTGCTGCCATTTTTAAACTGACAATTGTCAATCATTATTGTGCCCTGTCTCTTAAGCTGTTTCACTGATGTGGAACTGCTGGCTCTTAGCATAAACAAAGGTGACGGTTTTATAGGTGTACAACGTCATTATTGCCCTATATGCAACGTTTTTGGTGTAGATGATAATGCCGTTATCAAGCAGATGACAGCTAACAGTAACACGATCAGATTCATACGTTCGTAAGCATATTTACCTGAGCAGCCCCTCAGCCACATATCATAGACATCTGGGTCAATGAATGTATTGTTTCCCACAAAAATATCAAATTCCGCCATGACCAAACGGAAAATTGGATATTGTTCAGACAAACTTAAATGTTCTTCTTCGAACAAATTCGTCCCGACATTAGTCAAAGGGAGGTAATAAGGACAAACCTTCTTACCTGCCCCTAAAATGCTAGTGCATAATACACCCGCTAGGGTGCGTTTCGTTTACTCAAATATATTTTTTAAAATGTCATGGTTTTATAATATACCATAAAATACTTTATTTGACGGTAGTTATTAGTTGATGGTCATAACAAATAAATATGTCCCTCAAAAACTAAAAAAAATTAAACGTCATCCCATAATTCCACACTTTAAGAAAATGGCGTCGCGGCGTGTGCTCCCTGACGATTTAAGAAATGTTGAATTTGAAACAAGTGAAGATGTCGACGTTACGCCTACATTTGATAATATGGGTCTCAGAGAAGAGTTGTTGAGGGGTGTATATGCTTATGGTTAGTTGCCAGAATGGTGTTTATTTTTGTTGATTTATATCGATAAGCGATCTCTCAGCATCACATTTCCATGATCATACGTTTTCCCAACGAACAAAATGAAAGTTATTAACCTGACAGTATTATTTGTTTCCTTTACACATTCAGCAGCTTTGAAACATTGACAATAAACAGTGATCCTATTGTTGTGATTTGGCAGATTTGGCCGACTTCAAATAATGAGTACATTTTACAGAACAGAGAACCCTTTTAATTTTGTCTTGCAGGTTTTGAGAAACCGTCAGCAATTCAACAGAGAGCTGTGAAGCCAATAGTGAAAGGTCGAGATGTTATTGCACAGTAAGTTCTTTTGGTATATATCTGTAGCAGAAGCTATCATACCCGTCTGACCAAGTAAGAGACACATGGGAGCTATATATTGATTTCATGAAATACTACACTATACCATACTCTAAACTTGGAAGTTGAATCTGTTTACTGATGCTATAATATTCTAACAACCTCATTTTCAAATGTCTTACCACGCAACATGTTTCATATGTTTACATCAAAATGTCCAAATCCAGTTATTTCCTCTGAAACCGACACTCACAGCATGGCTGCCCTCTCATTGTCAACAGTGGTTATGTCTTGCAGTTGCAAGTTCCATTATTTAATTGGCGAGCTTGTAACTTAACTGTAATGTGTCAAAAGCCTAATTGACCCAATTTAAGATATTCTTGTACACGAATAATCTGAAATAATGCTGATTGTGGGATTAAACAACAATGAAACTGAGAATTCAGTATTTTAAAAGAAGTTTGAGTCAATAAATATATGCTCTTTTCATTGATACTCCAGCTTCTTAACGTGTTAAATATATCATTTAAGCAAGTTTTTGAATAGTCTGATCACATGATTACTGGTCATTCTAATTACCCTTCTAATATTTTCAGTACCAGTGAAACAAAGGTCACATACTTGTGATTTCAACAATACTTTAATCAGTTTAAGTAAATATCGCAAACAAAAAACATCAACATGATCAAGACTTAGATCAAGTTTCATTGATGTTTATGATCATGCTTAAGGATAATCTAAATGCTAAATTTTGCTGACATATTTTTTTCAGGGCACAGTCTGGAACCGGAAAAACAGCCACATTTTCCATCAGTATTCTCCAGTGCCTGGATACACAGGTGCGGGAGACGCAAGCCCTTATTCTCTCGCCCACCAGAGAGCTTGCTACTCAGATACAGAAGGTGTGTATTGTTGTATTCTGTCACCAAAGGCACAGCATTTGGTGATGTTTGTTGTCAAGTCTAGAATAATCATGCTTCACCGACATATTGATACTGTGCAGTATACTTAGTTCGAAGAGATCATTCTTTTCTTATCGTTTTCAAACTGGTGATGACACTCAAGTTTTGTTTGAAGTAAACTGTTGATTGACATTTTATTTTCTAATACAACAGCAGATATGCAGGAAGTTTCACGCACAATTGTCGCAAATCAAGTATTGTGACTTGTATCATGAACAAATTTTGGCAATACATATTGTGTCGGGGGATAGTTCTATCTTGACATCCTTTCTTTGGCCAATGTTAAATTGAGAATATTGAAAGTCATTCTGAATCATAATTCATATTTAATGAGATGTGACAATTTTCTTTCCATGTATGGATATTACTTGACATCATAACCAATGTTATAGTATTTGTGATCAATATGTAATTAGCAGACCTTTGATTTGATTAGAAAACTGATACTGATAGAGGATCATCATATTACCTGTGAAAAGCATGGGCATGGTTTCAGAAATGTATCATCACATGTCATGTTTGATCAATTGAGTGAGAAGAATTGTCTCCCCTCTGTGAAATGAAATATTCTAAAACAAGTTGATATCTGTTGCAGGTTATCCTTGCCCTTGGAGATTATATGAATGTTCAGTGTCATTCATGTATTGGAGGTACAAATATTGGTGAAGACATCCGTAAGCTGGACTATGGGCAACATGTGGTTTCTGGAACACCAGGCAGAGTCTTTGGTTAGTAATCAATCGTTTGTGAGCCTCAAATTAAGAAAACTCAATACTACTGGCATGTTCAATATATATAAGTGCAGATCTGATCCATTTAGGATATATTCATTAGGCTACTAATGGAGAGCCTTATGGCTTATTTGGTTGGGGTTTTTAAGTGAGAAGTCTACCTAATTATTAAACTTGTAATGAAACTTTCTTAAATGGTAAGGCCTATTATTTGTATTCTCCATGTAGTTGGTGTGGGCAATGAGGATAATACTTTCAGGAATGAAAAATGTCTGTAAATATATACGCTATTCTGAGCCCTTTGCCACTATGCATCAGCATGTAACATATGTTATGTTTGGGATTACACTTAGTAAAGTACAGATTCCAATACTTTGTTGGGTTGAGTCCCATCCAGGATTCAAACTTGCACCCTCAGAGGCATACACCTAATCGCAAGCACACAAAGTCAGACGCTTAACCTGCGCAGCCACTGCGGCTTCCACAAAAATGGAAGTTAATCTGACTTGAACAACTGGTGGTCTAGACCACAGACTTTGTGTCCCCTCTGATAAGTGTAAATTGGCACAGCTCCTAAGGCTGAAAGCTTTGTGTATTCATATGCATCAGCAGTTCTCTAATTTCATAGTCACTGCAGAAACAACCTGTATAATTCACATTAACTTTGAGAAATTCATCAATGGGATATTATTTCTTTAGACATATTGACTGTTTTGCTAAGTTCAATCAGGCAGAGGTTGTATTTCATCATAGCATTCTAAATCAATGTGATTGCAGATTCTTAACTATTTATCATGTTAAGACATCATTTTAAGATGTGGCGACTCCACTCTGATCTATCCTCAGTGCTTATGCAGTGTAAAGTGTGTTTCTGTGAAATGACAAATGATGTCAACTCAATTTAATCAAATGATTGATAACCATTGCATGTATGATGTTAATGCAGTTGAATAATGTATGACAATAGATTGAAATCAAAACCAAGGCTTTCAAAATCAAGCAGATTTGATAACAATATCTTGAAAAAGTTTAACAATTGTAGGTCACACTCATCATGCTCATGGGTTGTATTTGCCTACAGAGGCTGTATAATGTACTTTCACTTGTTCCACTCAGGTGCCATTGCTAGTGGAAAGTGGTTGTAACTTTGTACTGAATGTTTCAGATATGATCAGAAGGAGGAATCTTCGCACAAGATCCATAAAAATGTTGATTCTTGATGAAGCCGATGAAATGCTCAACAAAGGTAAGTGATTTTTTGCCACTTACTCATCGTGAGAAAAATAAATACCTTTATTGTAAGTGTGTTTACTGCAGATGCTAGCATGTAGGCTGCTCAATTTCTTAGGGGTTCGAGTAGCTAGTCGCATTGGATAGATAGGTAACTTTGGCACACCAGAAACCTATGTTTGTCTTTCATAACCTATTTCATCCCAATTGTGTTCGTACATTTGTCAGTACTGAACCAGTGTTCGTTCGTTTCACCAAGGGGCGGTGCGGTAGCCTAGTGGTTAAAGCGTTCACTCATCATGCCGAAGACCCAGGTTTGATTCCCCACATGGGTACAATGTGTGAAGCCCATTTCTGGTGTCCCCTGCCGTGATATTGTTTTATATTGTTAAAAGTGGCGTAAAACCATACTCACTCACTCGTTTCACCAAACGAGTGGCAAACATCTGAGACCTGCTGAGGCTGTAGGCTAGCCAAGTGTTTTAACCATTCACTTGTCACACTGAAGGCATGCAATTGATTCCCCGGACTGGAACAATGTATGACAGTGATTTATAGTGTCCACTGTCAGGATATTGCTGGAATATGGATAAAAGTGGCACAAAACCATACTCACTCACTCTGACACCTGCATCTCTTCACCCTTTCCTCCTACATAAAGCTGACATGCATAACTAGAATACTGAATACCGTTCAAAGAGGTGTTAAACCCAACTCACTCACTCACTCAATATTGCTGGAATATGGATAAAAGTGGCACAAAACCATACTCACTCACTCTGACACCTGCATCTCTTCACCCTTTCCTCCTACATTAAGCTGACATGCATAACTAGAATACTGAATACCGTTCAAAGAGGTGTTAAACCCAACTCACTCACTCATATAAGTTCTAAATATACATCCTTTCCAGTGTGTGCTAATGATGATGTATTGTACACATAGTGGGCAAGGGCAGTGAGGATAACATTTTCAGGAATTAACTGTCTGTAAATATATACGCTATTCTGAGCCCTATGCCAACATGTTTCAATAACAAATCATCTATTTCACTGGACACTTTAGAGATCACCTCTTTTGCTTGTGTTTGGGAACTCTTTTCACATGAACATTAGGATATTAACATCATGTGATCTCACTTTTGTTTAGTTCAGTGATGCAGAGGATGGTTTACATTTAGAATATCAAGTGAATTTCCTTTCTTTATTGTCATATCTCAAAACACTGAAAGAAACAGGTAAACACATTTTTGTAGACCTGTAATTATTTAAAGAGGGCGCCTGCTGTTCACCTGAATCAGTGATTTGAATTTTATCAAATAACAAACTGTTCAGAAGATTTGACCTTTCAACTACAAGATGATTGACTGTATTGTCAATATAGAGTGTGATGACAGGGCTGGAAGTTTGGACCTAAATGGATACTGGCACATTTCCATAACTGATTATAGAATGACTTATTGTCATGACCTTAATATTAGTTTCAGACGTGGACGTTTCAATATGAAGAATATCCCAAATTAGGAAACCGTTTGAAACAGGGTCTTACATTGACTTTGAAGAATGGTCATGGTGACTGACAGTAGATATTTTTAGGAGTCATTTGCTAAGTTTGTGAGTCTTGAAAATATTTTGTCAGAAAAATACTTCCATTTGTAATTCTAAATAAAGTATGGGCTATGAAAACATATTTGGTGATACTGTCTTCTGTTTCCAGTGCATGGGTTTTGTATGTAGTAGAGTTATTTGGATTCAAGGTACACTTGTTTGTAACAAAATATTGTGTCAGCTATGACTTGCTTGAAAATAATTTGGGAGTATGTTACAAAATTGTTGTCAAATACACAGGAATTATGTGTCATGTAAAACCCTGTATAAAAACTAACTTTATCTTGAGGCTAAACAATAAGACATGCTTTTGTATTCCGCATGTTGTCAATGGGCGATGAGGATAATATTTTCAGGAATCAGCAATGTCTGTAAATATATACGCTATTCTGAGCCCTTTGTCAAATGTATTTGTTCTTTTTTATACTCTGAGGCAAAAGTTATGGAGAAGTAGGATTTTTTTAATTGGTAATCTTGTGAATGAATTTTTCTATATGAACCAGAGAAAGAGTGAAGAATGGTGACAATTGTTATGGATATACAACTCCTTTTATTCTGTGAAATGTGACATTTCGGCATAGATTGTGATGTCGTTTTTTTCAAGCAAGTGATCACTTGTTTGACAACAACATTAGAATCTATGTCGAAACGTTGCCCTTCACAGCATAAAAGAAGTTGTATATCCATAAAAATTGTCATCATTCTTCATCAACTCAACTTCTAAAATGCCCATCAAAGAAATCAGAGAAAGAGCATGTAAAAATGTTCTAAGAAATCTACAAAGCTGCTGCTGTTCAAATTGTTCTTATGGCATGTTGAAGGTTGCCATACCTTGAAACATTCTTTCCATGTAATATTTCATTCAGGGCTGTCAATGTTTAACACTGATTCTCTTTGTTATTTGTGTGTTACAGTAACTTTTGCCTTTGGTTCTAGATAACTGCAGAAACAATCTGTATGACTGATATATACTTTCAGAAAATCTATGAGTTGGATCGTGTTATACTTTTCATACTTATTGATGGTTTTATTACATACGGGTAACCGGAAAATATATTTGATGTTTACTTATAGAAGTAATAAGTCAATGATACACTAAGTCAATTATAACAATCTAAAGCAAAAGATGTTCTGAAACTGTTAATCTTCCTGACTATGATGAAGATTTAGGAACAAAGCTGGTTGTCATAATATTTAGGTTTTTCATATTCTCTGCAAGGGCAATGAGGAGACTATATCCAGGAATTACCCATGTCTGTGAATATATACGCTATTCTGAGCCCTGTCACCATTCATTAATAATAATATGGATTAGTTAACCATTTAACTTTCAGATACCAATCACTGGAACATGATAATGATGTTATTTAAACTGGTACAGGGTTTTACCTTGACCTTCAGGACTAAGCGTCAGAGGAACCTCAGTTACTTATTTCAAGGGTTCTTACAGGAAAAATGAGGGCCCTGTATAGTATTGAATGGTGTAAAAACACTGTAATGTACTGTATCATGCTGTGTTGTAAGATTTGATAAGTATGTCACAGTAACAGGACTGAAAAGATCACTAAACTATGTCAGTTAGACTTTGCTTTTGTCACTGAACTATGTTGTAAATAAGAATCACATCGAGTCGATGTAATATCTGCTGATCCTCTTGAAGGTAACCGATGTTGAAACTTGAGGATATTGTCGAAACATTCAACATGTATAAACATCCTGATGGAGGCAAGGGCAATGAGGATAATATTTTCAGGAATTGACAATGTCTGTAAATATATACGCTATTCTGAGCCCTGTCACAATTCACTATTAATAAGTGTATAATAATTGGATTATTTAAGTAGTTAACTTTCAGATACCAATCACTGGAATATGATAATGATGTTATTTTACACTGGTACAGGGTTTTAGCCTGACCTACAGAACCAAGGGTCAGACAAACCTCAGTTACTTATTTCAAGGGTTCTTACAGGAAAAATGAGGGCCCTGTATAGTATTGAATGTGTTATATTGTTTAAACATTCAACATGTATAAACATCCTGATGCAGGCAAGGGCAATGACGATAATATTCTAGAATTGACATGTAAATATATACATTCTCCTGTCACAATTCACTATTAATAAGTGTATAATAATAGGATTATTTAAGTAGTTAACTTTCAGATACCAATCACTGGAATATGATAATGATGTTATTTTACACTGGTACAGGGTTTTAGCCTGACCTACAGAACCAAGGGTCAGACAAACCTCAGTTACTAATTTCAAGGGTTCTTACAAGAAAAATGAGGGCCCTGTATAGTATTGAATGGTTTAATGTACTGTATCATGCTGTATTGTAACATCCTGATGGAGGCAAGGGCAATGAGGATAATATTTTCAGGAATCGACAATGTCTGTAAATATATACGCTATTCTGAGCCCTGTCACAATTCACTATTAATAAGTGTATAATAATATGGATTATTTAAGTAGTTAACTTTCAGATACTAATCACTGGAATATGATAATGATGTTATTTTACACTGGTACAGGGTTTTAGCCTGACCTACAGAACCAAGGGTCAGACAAACCTCAGTTACTAATTTCAAGGGTTCTTACAGGAAAAATGAGGGCCCTGTATAGTATTGAATGGTTTAATGTACTGTATCATGCTGTATTGTAACATCCTGATGGAGGCAAGGGCAATGAGGATAATATTTTCAGGAATTGACAATGTCTGTAAATATATACGCTATTCTGAGCCCTGTCACTATGCAATAATAATATGCTATGAGGGAGGCCAACTTCAGTGATACTACCCAACCCAATTACTGAAACTGGTCATTCTGTCCAACGTTAATGGCATGAAAATGCTCATTCCATCTGAGCCACACTCTGTTGAGCCTGTCAAATTAGTTTTAAGTTAACCTTAATTCATCCGAAAACATAATTCTTGCCAAATAACAATTGTTCCAGTGCTTCTGCTCTGGATCATAGTGGATGCCTATGATTCTGTGAGTCAGTAATCTAAGGAGTCAGGATAAGCATGAAATAAAATTTTACTCTAAAAAACCCCAACACATTACCTAATCAACACTAACCTGGTAAATACATTTCCAGCAAATTTAAGCTTATCTCCTCTTTCTCTTGAGGTACAGTGGAAACCTCTGTCCTTTGTTCCAAAGAACAGTTTAAAAATAACTTGACCGCCTCCCTGGTGTAGTGGTTAGAGCTTCCGCCAGGAGAGCGGAAGGTCGCGGGTTCGATCCCCGACCGCGTCATACCAAAAGACATTAAAATATGGTACTTGTTGGTCCCTGCCTGGCGCTCGGCATTAATGGGTACAACAAGGACTGGTCGGCTCGGAGTCAGTATAATGTGTCTGAGTGGGGTATTCATGCTTCACTGCGGCATGGTATCTCAGTGAGCTAGCACTATAAAACCAGCTTAAGTCTGGGATAGTACAAGCAGCCGGACATACACATACAAACGCATGCACATCGTCACATGAGCGAAATATTCTCAAGCACGACGTTAAACCCAATTTCACCTCACCTCACCTTAAAGGTAACTCACCCCAAAATGGGCCTCCCTGTACAAATATTGTTTTAACATAGATCTTCTGTAAGACAAGTTGCTAATAGTTGACTGAAAACATGCTATTGGTTGTCTGGTCTATCATCAGAAATAAGCTTCAATGTTGCTGAGGACAATGAGGATACCATCCAACAGGAACTCCAAGTGTCTGGAAATATATACGCTATTCTGAGTCCCTTTTATGCAACAATGCTTCACATTTTCTGTAGAACACAAGTATACACATGTTAAATCATTAGACTATGCAAATGTTACGAGAGTCTCTTTACTGTACTTACAAAACAATAGGCACATGGAGTTTTTCTGATGGGATGTACTGTATTCACCTTGACTCTTTACAGGATTCAAGGAGCAAATCTACGATGTGTATCGGTACCTGCCACCAGCAACACAAGTACTTCTCATCTCTGCCACACTTCCTCATGAGATCCTGGAGATGACAAGCAAGTTCATGACAGACCCTATCAGAATCCTAGTCAAACGGTAACATCTCATCCCATCATTTAAGCCTCATGTTCATATGCCAAACTGTGGTTGTAAAATTGTTGCTTATGTGAAGCCTCTTTTAGATGTGAATGAAAGAGATTTGTATTCAGTTTTAAGAATTGTTTTGCTTACAAGGAATCAGTGAGCTCATAGCATCATGCCTTAAAGAAATTAGGGTATATAATGTTCACAGATGACCCATCTCCTGGCATATTATCACCAATATTGTGAAGGGGTGGTGGGTTAGCCTAGTGGTTAAAGCGTTCACTCGTCGCGCCGAAGGCCCATTTGATTCACCACATGAGTACAATGTGTGAAGCCCATTTCTGGTGTCCCCTGCTGTGATATTGCTGGAATTTTGCTAAAAGCGGCATAAAACATACTCACTCAAAAATATTGTTGGTTACATGACGGCAACCAAATGTTATGCCATTATGTTTGAATTATGCTGGTTGCTCTTGTAGTACTATGTGATGCTGTTCACATAGTAATATTTCCCACATGGGTACAATGTGTAAAGCCCATTTCTGGTGTCCCCATCCATGATATTGCTGGAATATTGCTAAAAGCGGCGTAAAACCCAACCCACTACTCACATAGTGACATGTCATTATGTATGAAATCTTTCATATGTGATGTTGTATCTGAATCCAGTGATGAGTTGACCTTGGAAGGCATCAAGCAGTTCTTCGTGGCAGTAGAGAGGGAGGAGTGGAAGTTTGACACGCTCTGTGATCTGTACGACACCCTCACCATAACACAGGCAGTCATCTTCTGTAATACCAAAAGAAAGGTACAAGACTCTTATGAACATGAACTATGCATGCGTATTTAAATTTCAGAAAATAACATCGGGATGGATGTTGTTTTTGTTTTGCAGATATATGATAACTGAAAATTGTAAAACACCTTTAATAGATCATGCAAGAGATGTTTTCGTCAGCATCTTGTCATTCAATGTATTAGAACTATACAGGCGAATGGTTGTACATTCACTGGAGTATCTACATATTCAGTTTAGAACTCACCTGACAAATAGTTATATACTTCATAGCTTCAGTTTATTTTTTTTTGTTATAGTTATATTATAACTGTCTTATTTAAGTGATTTGTGCAGTTTGCAAAACAAAAATAAAATATCACATGAAAAGAATTTTATTTTGACTGTGTTTGGAGTACATTTCGAGAACACTGTACTACCAGCAGTATTGATTCAAAGTTAAGTTACTTCATAGGTTTATGAAATTAATGCAATATTTATAGCATACACATTTTATTTATTTTTCATGTTAAACAATAGAACAGTGGTGTTACATTGTTGTAATGTCACTGACAGCCCCTTGTGAAAGCTTGACGGAATATTTTGTTGTAATGTTGCAGGTGGACTGGCTGACTGAGAAGATGAGGGAGGCCAACTTCACTGTGTCATCCATGCATGGTGACATGCCTCAGAAAGAGAGAGATTCCATTATGAAGGAGTTCAGATCAGGATCCAGGTAGGGCTCCAGTATAGTCACAGCCACACCATAAATCAGCAATAGCTAGTGTTGTGATGTCAAGTAGCATACATGAGGTTTGTTTACAGTATTCATGCCCTGTCATTCAGTGCTTCAGTATGACAAAGCTGTAACCAATACTCTGTCAGTCTATGAATCAGCTGCATGACTTCCAGCAAGACCCCTGTTGTCAGACCTCTCTTAATACACACAATCACATTTTCCTGAAGTATTTCATGTTTCCAATTCAGTGGAAATATTTCTTAGGTCTGTACATGATGGAAATTGTTTGCATGAATGAGAACAAGTTCATAATTGCTGTGATATTTTTGTAATGGTGATAGTGGGTTGGATATGTGCAATCAGATTTATTTTCTTAAGAATGTGTACTTGTTTTTCAGTCGTGTCCTCATCACAACTGATGTTTGGGCCCGAGGTATTGATGTTCAGCAGGTGTCTCTCGTCATCAACTATGATCTGCCAAACAACAGAGAATTGTACATTCACAGGTAACTGGAGACTTTCAGTATCAGAAAATTGTAATGTTTGTCAAATGCATCAAATCCTGCTGTGTATGCAAATCTAGGCCGTAAACATGTTGTCAGCTTCTCTTTAAGACCATGACCTGATTCTGTGAGAAACTACCCAACACTGTGTTGATTCCATCCATGCCCGTTTAGGAGTGCCTTATATACTTAAGTTATCAAATATATTTCACACCTATTGTATAAACATCTCCTTCATTGTAACCACTCCTGTATTTATACATCTCTGGCTTCCATTCACTATCCTTTGTGTACTCACTGGCTTCATCAGCTTACTGCTTAACCAATTATGGCAATTATGTTGTTTCCTTTGTCAATTACAATGTATGTTGTTTCATTGTTATATACAGTATATATATGCAGCTCCTCCACTTCATGTATCACTCTTGCTTGACAACGGTACAAGAATCTGTATCGAAACGTCGCACTCACGAAATAAAGAAGTTGTTATCCATAAAAACTTGTTCCATATTATCAAATATATGTTGCTAAAAGTGGATTTCAGTAGTAGCACAGTGAATGTCAAAGATTTTACTTTGCTTTGAAATATGTTTTCCTTGTCTGCCATTTTACCTGTCAGTCATAAGTATTTTACATCAAGATTATGTTTTGCAGAATTGGACGATCAGGTAGATTTGGAAGGAAAGGTGTGGCCATCAACTTTGTGAAGAATGATGACATCAGAATTCTGAGAGATATTGAGCAGTACTACTCAACTCAAATTGATGAAATGCCCATGAATGGTAAGTTTGTGAAGGATCAGACTGACTGTTTTCTCATGCCCTTGGATGGATACCATGTCAGCATAGGTCGTCAGTGGTTATTCTCTATGAGGCAATGAACATATAAGGTGGCATGCCACCATGGTAAAGATGGAGTATTGCCACCAGAAAAGTTCAGTGGGGTGGTGGAGGTAGCATAGTGGTAACAGTGTACTCTTGTTGTACCAAAGACCAAGGTTCATTCCCAACATGGGCACCATGTGTGAAGATCATTTCTGGTGTCCCTTGCAGTGAAATATCTGGAATGATACTAAAAGTGGTGTACAACCAAACACGCTCACTCATGCTAACATTTGTCTGTACAGCATTTCTTCCAGCCATAACTGAAATGACTATTTGATGGCTGTGAATAAGAACACACATTGTTCTCTCTTTTGAGTGCCTTTCGGATCTCATTTGGAAATGACTGAATCAGCTCAAGCAATATTTATCTTTTCTCTTATATTCCTGGTAACAAATGTGTATTTTGTCTTTTGCAGTTGCTGATCTGATCTAAGAGAGTGGGTGTGGAGAGAAAAACTCTTGTGAAATGACAATTAAAGACACTGTGTTCAGACAAACCCAACCTGTGTGAAAGACATACAACAGTACTTAACTGCAAACTACCAGTTACATTGTCAGTGAATCAACAGTGGGATAATCATCTGAGCACCGAATGAGCAGTTATACTGAACACACACCTCCATTGTACAGCTATTATTGCAGAAAGGACATGCTTTGCTAATGGGATAACTGCAATTTAACAAATAATTTGTTATTCATTAAAACGGTTTGGTGCCATGAAAAGATGAAGCTGTAACTTGTTATCATATCTTATTTAGGTGTAAGTTACGAAATGTTTTAGAATTTTTTATTTTGTAAGGTCTCATGCACTGTAAATACTTGCTTTGTTATTAATAGGTCCTTTTTTTTTTCATACATCATGTCATTAAAAATCCATTTTGTTTTAAATGTGAATAAAAATCAGACTTGTACAGGGTGTTACTTGCTTTGTTTTTTCTATTATGGCTCTGACAGGACATCATGTCGATTATTTACAGACCACTGTTATATAGCTGTAATGTTGCTGAGGGACAGTTCATGAAACTGAAGTATTTGCTGGTGCTATAAAATAGAGCACTTGGGCCAGTTTCTATTGTGCCTATTCCCAAGAACAATGCATGAAGCCTATATCTGGTATCCCATGCTGTGATGTTGTTGGGAAATTAATAAAGGCATCATAAATAAAAACAATCTCTCATTAATGATGCCAACCTCCGTTCTTTTATCTAATTGAGCTGTGCGGATATCAGCTGGTGCCTTAAATATCTGTTTCTAAAATGTGTTGGTTAGGCCTGATTCACAGTATATTCCCTACCGCTGAGCCTTTTCAGCAATGCACAAGCCCTGTTGCTTGTATAGTTTCAGCAATCGTCCAAAACGTTCCTTATGATGCTGGATTAGTGTTTGATGTTCTGGAAGATTCCACCTTACACTGGACTGCAATACAAAACATATCAACGGCAGATGGCAGAACAAGAATATGGCGACAACGTGGCCAGTGTTACTCAGACCAATGTGTTATTGAAAGAGACTCATGGGGAGGTGCAAGCATCATGGTATGGGGTGGAATAGGCCTTAACCAGAGAGTGGGTTCTGTTGTGTTCCAGAACCTTGGTCCAGGGAGAGGAGGCGGCATCACAGCAGTGCACTACATCGACCAAGCTCTCAAACCCCACGTCATACCACATTTTGCAGCATGATAACGCCTGGGCCCATACTGCCAGAGCTACACAGGACTTCTACAGCAGAACGGTGTCAACATTATGCAGTGGCCAGCCCTTAGTCCTGATTTAAACCCAACTGAACATCTTTTGGGTGAAATTCAGAGGAGACTGAATAATGTCATACCAAGGTTGAACACAGCCGATTTATTGCGCAAGGCCTTTCTCAGAGTGTGGTTCCAGGTGCCAATGGCCTTCAATCGATTGGTGCACTCCATGCATAGACGCTGTGCTGTAGTTATTGCCTCTCGTGGTGGTCACACTAGATACTGAAGTCAAGGGTCTGAATGGACTGCAAACGTTCACGTAATGTCTTGAAATTGTGCTGAGTTATTCATTGATGTGTCAAGATATTGTACACAAAAAATGTTTTTGATCCGCTTATGTCCATTTCTGTAATGATTTGATTACAGTGCCTATCTAATTTTGAATTCGTACAGACGGTTTGTTTTTTGCTGCTGAGTATACTACACTGCCATGTAACAGTAGAAAAAATAGTCCAGTGCAATGTATATTGTACAGTTTTCCCAGATATTATTCAGAAAATCTTTGATTCCTAATACTGATAATAGAATTTTAAAATATGTGTTACACTATGTAGGAAGGGTACTTAATATGGGAGGCAACTCTTGTAGGCTTAAGAATGAACCTTACTACATCAAGAGTTATCTCCCCTGGTGTAGCATGCGGCGTCCTTTGTTGACATGGCAGATTTGATAGCAGAAGAGAAAAGAAAGCTGGTTCTGGATGATTTTGAAAGGGGTGTGACTAATGCAAAAGAGTTTGCTGGTAGACATGACATTCCTCTGTCTACAATATACAGAACTTTGAAGCATATTCAGTCAGGAGTTAGGATTGAGCACAAGACAGGGCCAGGGAGGCCAAGGAAGTTCAGTACTACGGATCGCCAGCGACTTTGTCAGATTGAGAGTAGGGGAAAATTGACAAGCGTTGAGAATATCGGAAATGAGATGATTAATAGAGGAAGTCCTCGGGTATGTAATGAAACCTTTAAGACATGAATTACAAAGACTTAACTGGGTGAAAAAGCGCGGAATTCCTTCATCTTTGATGAAAGATGCACAAAAAGAAAGACGTTTAAACTGGTGTAGGGCTCACGAAAATCAAGATTGGGATAGTGTTTTCTTTTCTGATGAAAGTTCTGTCAGGCCTTTTCCGAACTGTGTGAAAAAATTGACTGGCCCAGCTACAGCCCCATTGAGAATGTGTGGGGACTAATGAAGGACAGAATAAACCAAAAAGGACTTAGAAATATTGAGGATATGAAGAAAGAAGTGGTCGAATACTGAGATACGCTGACACGATTTCCTACAAACTTTGATCGGTAGTATACCTAGGCGCATTCATTTGTGTATTTCAGGGCAAGAAGGTCTCACAAAGTACTGAACAGACACTTACACTGTAAGAGAATCATATCTCAACATATTCATTTAGGTAAAACTTCTATAGCTTTTTTACATGTATTAGATATTTGCCGAAACAACTTTCTCAATAATTTCTCAATAAATAACAGTGGTGTATACAAATTCAACATAACAAAATAATGAAGACTTTAAATATTGGGTAGTGTAACGAACAAACACGACCCAGCGGGTGTTTGGGTGTGGTTCTACAGTTAGGTTTTATAGACGGTCATTGCTAAACACAGCCACCATACACAACTTGGCTGTCCCGGAAACTCCCCACGTACGTATAAAATACATGTATCATCCAAACCTGGAAGATATAGCTTGAATGAAATTGTGAAAAAGTATGTTGCAAAGAAATGTGACCCTTTGCATATATTTCTATTGGGTTTGAATGTTGTCGACAGGTGGAATCATATTGTCTAATGTTGGCTTCGCTTACGTTATTCCCTTTCATTTCCTTCAACTAGTGTGTGTTTGACGAGGGCTAGAGCCTGATGTCCCTTCTGCCTGCCTGGCTGTGTCTATGACGAAAGCAAGTTAGATACGTTCTGAAACTACTTGTGACATAAAGGGTATCTGACAGGCAAGAGTGCAGTTATCTGTTTCTTACCAGAAATGGGCTTCACATATTGTACCCATATGGGGAATCGAACCCGGGTCATTGGCGTGACGAGCGAACGCTTTAACCACTAGGCTACCCCCAGCGCCCTTAGTAAATCAAGTATGTATTTTCCGGTTCTAAATTTCTAATCATCTAAGTTTTGAATTTAAATTATTTTGTTCCTGTCAAAATTATTAATGTCCAGAGGCAACAGTAATCGTGACGTGGGAAGAGTGTTCTAAAATGGTCAAAAAAAGGCAGAAAGTTGAAAGAGTTGACATATTTTGGGTAAAATGGTTCAAAAGGTTAAACAACCAGGCGCTTATCATTTCCACTCAGTGCTATCTTATCAAGTGCAGAAGAGAGAAAACACCTTTATTCATCGTTCAGTCTGGTATTTCACTGGGTGACGTTTGCTCGTCGATTCAACACCATTTGACATTTATATCGATCGTCTAGTTATTGACCGTCCTCGTAACGACCCCAAGTCCAATACATTCGAACCACGCACCTCCGATACATGTTCTGGCCAGCAACCGTTACAACCGGTACCATACCTGTCAACAGAGGTCTATCTGCGAGAACAGTTTGACGTCACCGCGTCTAGGACATCCGTGCAAGACGCCCAGTCTGACGGCCAGTTCCTACGCCACGAACATCGACGACGTTCAGTGGAGCGGACAAGAAAGCCAATAAGCCAACATAGAGAATTCACCGTTTTCGCAACAACAGAACGGCCCTACAGTGACGTTTTAACAACATAACGCCAGACCATACATTTGTTGGAGTTGTCTCGAGCAGAATCAGAACAATGTTGATGTGTTACCCTGGCCCGCTAGATGCCCTGATTTATCGCCCATTGAACACGTCTGGGATGAGTTCCAGTTAATACATTACGTACGAACATGATGGTATAGTCAGGCAGGGCACTATGGTATAGTCAGTCAGCCAACATAGAGGCAAGATAAGATGGTATAGTCAGTCAGCTTACAGAGAGGCAGGATATGATGGTATAGTCAGTCAGCTGACAGAGAGGCAGGATAAGATGGTATAGTCAGTCAGCTGACAGAGGCAGGATACGATAGTACAGTCAGCTGACAGAGAGGCAGGATAAGATGGTATAAGCAGTCAGCTGACAGAGAGGGAGGATACGATAGTATAGTCAGTCAGCCAACATAGAGGCAGTCAGTCAGTCAGCAGGATAAGATGGTATAGTCAGTCAGCTGACAGAGAGGGAGGATACGATAGTATAGTCAGTCAGCTGACAGAGAGGCAGGATAAGATGGTATAGTCAGTCAGCTGACAGAGAGGGAGGATAAGATGGTATGATCGGTTAGCCAAGTGACAGACAGGACGCGATGATATAGTCAGTTCAGCCAAGTGGCAGTCAGAACGCGGTGATATAGTCAGTCCGCCAACAGACAGACTAAACTAAGATTAGACTAGACAGTCAGCCAACAGACTAGACTAGACTACAGGTATTAATCCAACACTACTTTAACCGAGAATATGTATTCTAAGATTTTGGCGCCAGCCAGTGATGCTTACCAATTCGGCTTTGGATAATATTATTAATCGGTTAGTGGTGGACGACAAGGGCGTGTTTTAAGTCCTATTTTCTCTGATATGTTTATAACAGAAATTCAGAATTTCATATTGCAGACCCCTGCCTTTAAGGGTATTTTTGTAGGTTGAGATTTTGACTATACAGTAATTGGTTTACTCAGAAAGATACTAGTAAATACATTACATACGTATCGTAAAATTATGCACATTAGAGATAAACATGGATAAAACTGAGGTCTTATTTTTGTAATTGTGTTTGTCTTCGTTCCTATGAGAAGTTGTTCTACAATGGCATATCAGAATGGGAATTTCATTTTTAACATGGTTGCCGGCTGTCTCGGACGAAGTGAACTCATACTTTTGTTAGTACAGCTAGTACGACCCTTTTCTCCTTGGGATATTAACACATTTCCAAATATGCCTGTTGATTTAATGTTCAAGTTGTGTGACAATAGGGTTAAGCATATGTTATTCAATGTGGCAGAGGTTTGGGGATTTCAAAGAAACAAAGGCGATTGAAACTATTCATACAAATTCTCGTAAATATACTGAGGGAAACAAATAAGGGAACACCACTTCATGGCAGTGATCCTTTATTTCCTCTCATTTTTCCTCCCACAGAGCGATTCAAAACTTGTGATGAAGGCTGGAAAACATTAAAGAAACGCTTGAATTTTCCTGTATTCCTTTATTTGTTTCTCTCAGTATATCAACTGGGTGTTGGAAAGCTTGTTTCAAGTAATGGTGTTATGGCAGATTGTGGTGGATCCAGTTGTTGTGTAGATTATTATGTAAATATATTTTAGGAAATTACATGTTGCTGGAAGATTAACTTGGGCTACATTTATTAAATATTTGTTGTGTTCGCTTATGGTCTGGGATTTGTATGTTACAGTCAGGAAGTAGGTAATATTACACACTTTATCTCTTCCTAACAGAATACTGAATTGTGATACGCAGCGTATTCTTGGCAACATCAACCAGTCTTTGTATATAAGGTATTGTAAACTGAATAATCATTAAATGTTGATTACCATGTAATCTCTATTAATCAAATGAGTGTAATAAGATATGTCAATAAAATAACAATAGCCTTTGAGGGCTAACAAAAGGAATTGTAATCACAAGTTGAGGAAAATGAAAGATAATTGTGTCCGTATCATAAATAACATAAAACATCGTTTGATGAAAACTTCCGGCAGGTTAACCGCAGCGCCAACACAACCGACAAGTTGGCGAGCACTGGGAGCCGGGAACCATCTTCCGCAAGAATCATGCTGTCAGAAGTTTCGCTCCGTCGCTGCCTCAGTGTGAAGGGGTCGTTGTCGACACAAGTACTACAGATATGTACCCCAAACAAAGATTATATTCAGAAGCGTACCTGGTACCCAACACGGCGGACGAGTCCATATTCGGCAACCCACACCCGAAACTGCATGTAGTTGTTCCCGTTCAACTCACTGCGAGTGGTATTGAGCTATTCGTTACTGTGTATGGTCATTTCTTATATAACGCAATGAAATGCATCTTATACAACAGTATGATAGTTCCGATCAAGAAAACGGAAAAATGCAGAATTGATTCGTCCTAGGGAAAGCTTCTGTATTCTGATTTTGGCTATGGTACGTTTCTATATACAGACGCATCTGTAGTATCCGTGCCGACAACGACCCTTTTAGCCTCAGTGGACGATAAGACTGAAGTCCTTGTCAGATTTGAAGGAATCTGACAATATATCAGTATGTTTATGTATACTAGTGAATACGAGAGGTATAGCTATAGCATCGTTCTCCTGCTCCGACTGTATTTCTACATGCTACTGACACTTTGCCTTTGTCCGATAGTCCAGATTTGAATCCACTGAAACATGTCTGTGACGTTTTTTGGAAATCGGCTAAAGACAATGGGTCCACAAGTAAAACGCGTAGCAGCTTCATAGGCATGGCATGAAAACAAATTATCAAATATAAATTATAAAACATTAACTTTTAACATCCTTTTTTCTATTTACGTGACTAATGTTTCTGGTAACTAATGATCAGGGGTAAGACTTGTTTAGAGATTCTATTTCATTCTTGTGTGTGGACGCTACAATGCTTGGATGATATTGCGCATGCGTTTTTTATTCCATTATTTCATTACAACGACGAGTTATCACACTTCTGGTTCAGTATCGTAGATATCCATGCTTGTCGTAAGAGGCAGCTAAAGAGATCAGGTTGTCAGACTCGCGGACTTAGATGGTGTATGTCAAAATCAAAATTGATTAGATCGACATTGATGATGTCAATCACTGAATTGTCTGGTATACAGAGTCGTTTATTTACAGACAGCCGTCAGTTAGATGGAATATTGCGTATTCTGGTTCAGCCCCTTATAATTTAGCCGGCTATGTTGGCAACGCCTTATAATTTAGCCGGCTATGTTGGCAAGCGCCTTTAAATATAGCCGGCTATGTTGGCAGCGCCTTATAATTTAGCCGGCTATGTTGGCAACGCCTTATAATTTAGCCGGCTTTAAATTTAGCCGGCTATGTTGGCAGCGCCTTTAAATATAGCCGGCTATGTTGGCAGCGCCTTATAATTTAGCCGGATATGTTGGAATAGTTGGACGGCAACGTTAAAATACCGACCAGCTACAAAAGCTAGACGCTGTACAATCTCATTTTTCATTTATATCAAGGCGTGTAATCTATATGTTGAGTGTATTCTGTTTTACGCCGCTTTTAGCAATATTCCAGCAATATCACGCCGGGGGCTTCACACGCTGTACCCATGTGGGAATCGAAACCGGGCCGTCGGCGTGACGTGCGAAAGCTTTAACTACTAGGCTACCTCACCGCCCCTCTAAATATAGAAGGAATACACCGATGCTGGTTAACTGATCTTACAAATGACTTACAAATATTTTGAAATCAATTGTGGCACATTGATCCAGGGAATTGATGAAATCAGACATTTTCCATGTCTCTATGGTTTAATTCTAACATAAAGTCATGGTAGGAAATAATTCAGTAACAATAAGTTGTTCGCCTGCCCTTCATATTTCAATGTATCCGCGCTCAATTCCATTTAGCTATATATTTTTTATCATAAAAAACAGTTCTTTGAGAACTTTAAAAGTTTACCTGATAAAGTAAACTGCCGAGCTAAAGAAAGTACACCCCGTTTTTTTATGCTTGCTAAACCGAAACAGACAAGAAACTCTTACTCTATTGTGATGTATTTCATACGTGGTTTGACCGTTATTTTTCCGGTTTTATTCCGTTTTCAAATTTTGATAATGTCTGCAATTTTGGTGTCAAATCCAGTTTAGGTGTGTACTTTCTTTCGACCGGTAGTGTATTTATCTGTGTAAGTAGTTTGCACTGAGCACCATATTTAACACAGACAGTAGTGTATGAGTGACGAGTAATATATAAGGCACAATTCATAATAGGATATACTGACGGAAAGAACTTAAGGAACGCACAATGACAAAAGCTCCACTTTTGTGTTCTTCAAAGTCACCGGGTGTTGTATAATCAAGCTTTTGACCCGTGTTTGGGAACTTGATTATGCCCTTAATAAGAAGAAGAGGAACGATTACAGTCAAGCAGTTTACTGACAGTGGTGTTGTGTGTTACAGAATTGGATACAATTGATAAACAGAAATACATGGCACATGGATTGACAATAATATGAATACATGAAATATATACAAACAACTTCGATATGAAATGTCAATATTTGTATTACTTAAAAGGAAGCTAGCTAGCTAGGGGATATAGCTGTAGGTAGAGCTAAGCACACGTTCATGTCTAGAGAGAGCATTACGACATGTAAGTGAAAATGAATACATACATGTATATGCTTGGATTAATACCTCTAAACTATGATGCGTAGTTCATTACATGATGATAGATATATACACAACATATACATACAAATTAAGGAATATACATATCTTAAACCACACAATGTATCGTGCATGATCATTCATAAAAGAAATAGTTAATACTTATTACCCATATACAACAAGGGATAATTACGCATAATAGTGCACGTGTCTAAGTGGGTTTATATTAGAAGGTGAGCAACCAATTGAGTTGGGTTGAAATTGGGTTTTACGTCGTACTTGAGAATATTTCGCTCATATGACGACGTGCATGCGTGTGTATGTGTATGTGCGGCTGCTTGTACTAGCCCAGACTGAAGCTGGTTTTATAGTGCTAGCCCACTGAGATACCATGCCGCAGTGAAGCATGAATACCCCACTCAGACACATTAAACTGACTCCGAGCCGACCAGTCCTTGTTGTACTATTAATGCCGAGCGCCAGGCAGGGACCAACAAGTACCATATTTTAACGTATTTTGGTATGACGCGGTCGGGGATCGAACCCACGACCTTCCGCTCTCCGGGCGGACGCTCTAACCACTACACCACGGAGGCGGTCGTGAGCAACCAATAAAATCATAAACTGTCTAGATTATTCCATACATATATAAGACAACAGTATCAAATAACAAGGCGTAAATTTAATAAGAAGAAGAGGAACGATTACAGTCAAGCAGTTTACTGTCAGTGGTGTTGTGTACTGACCAGTGAGGACGCTTGGCTTTTATAGTAATCGCCCTCCTATGTTTTGACTTTGAGTGATACCCTACTGAATGAATTGTACATTGTCTTGAATGTTAATCGTGACCGATGATAAGTCGCTGGTGTATTGTTACGTAACTATATCTTGTACGGCGACGCAACTGCGACCGCCACACAGACCGTCAGCGTGCGCGATGGCGTTTGCCTGCTATGTAGCTGTCAGTGTTCAATCTGCACTTGGGACAACACGGATACTGCTCAGTGACGGCTTTCGTGATGTCGGCTCGCTTGATCCTCATTTTCAGGACAGCATTATATGCTGCCATCATAATATGTAGTCTTGTAATATTTTCAGCACTAGCAGTGAGCATGGTAAGTATAAATACGTGCATTCCTTCATTGAATGTGTCCCAGTTGCCGCCACTTGACATGCATGGGCGAGCGTTGTGTGGCAGGCCACTTCTTATGCTGGATAGCGGAGTATCAATATTTTCTGTTCGGCTTACGGCTGTGTTTCGCTATGTGTCGTCGTATCGATAATGACAGCGTACGCACTAAAGGTAAGGCTTTTTGACAAGTTAAGGCTTGTATATATTCATGTGACATTCATAATCGATATTTGTCACATCGTAATCCAGTTCTGCCAGTAGTATGTCTTGATCATTAATAATTTACAACGGAGTTGGGATTGGATGCTTGTAAATGCGACTCCAAAGATGAGGTGAGGTGAAACTGGGTTTAACGTCGTGCTTGAGAATATTTCGCTCATATGACGACGTGCATGCGTGTGTATGTGTATGTGCGGCTGCTTGTACTAGCCCAGACTGAAGCTGGTTTTATAGTGCTTGCCCACTGAGATACCATGCCGCAGTGAAGCATGAATACCCCACTCAGACACATTATACTGACTCCGAGACGACCAGTCCTTGTTGTACCCATTATTGCCGAGCGCCAGGCAGGGACCAACACGTACCATATTTAAACGTCTTTTGGTATGACGCGGTCGGGGATCGAGCCCGCGACCTTCCGCTCTCCGGGCGGACGCTCTAACCACTACACCACGGAGGCGGCCGACTCCAAAGATGACATTATATACCCGTAGTTTGGATGCTGTTACAAGCAGCCATTCATCTGATTGTACATCAAACTACGAGTAAATACCACAACGGCATCGAGAGAAGACATGCCGACCCATATTGATGAACACGACATTTATTTTTGTAATGATTAGAACAACCTACTTCAAGGCTTCAAATGCTTTAGTAGCGTATTATTGTTTTGTTTTCTGACAATGTTCAAAATTTCTCTGTCCTGCTTGTTACAACAGTTCAACAAGGCTGACTATAGTCTGTTTGCAGTGAAAACGTACCGATGAATTACACTCTAAACAAAAAAGTAAATCCAATAAAGTGAAATTAAGATTGCGAATCCTCATAATTTTACCTGGCCAATTGAACATTCAAATCTCAGAATTATATTCAACTTAGGATAAAAGTTGTTTAACAAACGATCATAGTTTCAAATCGCTATTATTGGTTTGTATTACAAGGGGGTATGCACTTTAAATGAAACACCGAGAACAAGTAGGGTTGGTCTAAGTTAACGCTGATCACGTACCGCACGTGCATTTGTTTCACTGTTCCATCTGCTGCGCTTACCCCTTTGTAATACAAACCAATGATAGCGATTTGAATCTTTGATCGTTTGTTAAACAACTTTTATCCTAAGTTGAATAAAATTCTGTGATTTGAATGTTCAATTGGCAAGGTAAAATTATGAGGATTCGCAATCTTAATTTCAACTAATTTGATTTACCAATTTTGTTTAAATTGAAATTCATCGGTACGTTTTCACTGCAAACAGACTATAGTAACCTTTCTAGTTCCTAGTCTTGGACTGGACCAGTCTTTACTAAATATCTACTTAGGGCCTATTCGATTATGCTAAACCGGTTTTGGTTTCTGGAAAACCATGCACTCGATTATGTCGAAACCTAAAACTGGGTTCTAAAACTTCGAAACCATCTCCGAGGCAGGTTTCGCAGTTTCGGTTTCGCGTTCCCTCACAACAAACATGGCGGAAACGAAGTTCAGCTTATCTTGGTGGCAAAATAGAGCAGCAGTTTCTGTAACCAAAACAATGATAAAAATCAACTGAGAACAAGGAAAATAAGCACGAAGCAACCTTATCTCTAAGGTTAATCTTAACTCTAAGATTTCAACCTTAGGTCTCTACTAAGGTTGACGTCACGTCTGCTTTCACAAAACAACCTTACCTAAGGTTAATCTTACGTAAGGTGAAAACAATAAGGTTGGCATGACCCAACCTTAGTACAACTAAGGTTAATATTTAGTAACAATAAAGATGGCGACTGCTTTCATTGTATGTATTGAATTAGACCGTAGTTTGAAGAAACAGAGGGTTTTTCGTGACCTCACGATGCAGCTCGATTGCCTCGCCGATGCCGAGCTCTTTGCACGTTACCGGATGCCCAGACATGCCATCTCTAGTTGACCTTGTAAGGCCTTGTAAGGCCCATGCTAGAGAGACTCACCCAGCGTTCCAACTCCCTTTCTCCCGAGACGCAGGTACTCCTTACTCTCAGATATTTGGGGAAAGGCGGTTACCTGTCCGAGATCGGTGATCTCCATGGTGTATCTGAGGCAAGTGTAAGCCGGGCCTTCCATGACACTGTGCGGGCTTTTAACAGCCATTTGAAGAATATTTCCTTTCCATGGACAAGAGAAGAACAGGAGAGAATTAAACTTGGGTTCTGCAGTATTGGTGGCTTCCCCAAAGTACTGGGTGCAGTAGATGGTACTTTGATACCAATTAAACGACCACCTGCAAATGAGGAAATGGCTTTCGTCTGCCGTAAGGGCTACCACGCCATAAATGTGCAAGGAGTTTGCGATTCTGACCTCAGGTGAGCCAATATATCTGCCACTTAACAATATCTATATGCAAATACATATAATGTAAATACCCTTTCCCGTAAGACAATGTTTATAGTGCTTCTATCGAACATCTATCGCAACATTGCTGAATTGTTTACATTAGCAACGTCCTTGACCTTTTACTTTTTACCGTAGTACTTTCCAGCTGACTCCACTCTACATGTCACTTGATGAAATTAAGATTGTGTCATTTACATGTTGTAATCACACCTATATGTAGAACTCCAACTTGTTTATATACTAGACATATTTTATAATATATATAAACAATAATGGCTTGATAATTGCACCATACATTATTGTTAAGACTGTAACCTATCATTGTTCATTTTCAGATTTACGAATGTTGTTGTTCGCTGGCCTGGCAGCACACATGATTCTCTCATACTGAAGAACAGTGGCCTCGGAAAGAAGATGGAAACTGGTGTGGTTGATGGCTGGTTATTGGGAGATTCTGGGTAAATATTCAATTCTACACTGACATGGTTATGGTACATAATATAACTTAATTGAAAAGATAAGAAGTTATTTATGACTGATGGCATTTATGCCAAATTAACCAGAATGTTTCATATAGTGTTAGATCATATCCACTGTTGAAAAGTACATATGTTTATTATAGTGATACATAGAGAATACTACACGAGGTCTCATTACATACGAATTATACGAAACGAGTGTCCTTCCTATGGTATCTGACCGAGCGAAAGCGAGGTCAGATAATATAGGAAGGTCACGAGTTTCGTATAATTCGTATGTAATGAGACCGAGTGTGGTATTTTATTTATTACCCACGTCTTACATGCATTTAAATTGACAAAATAGCGTATTTTTGTTTTGTTTTTGGTTTCAAACCGAAACCGGTTTCATAAAGAGGTTGCGGAAGAGTTTTGTACTGTAGTACAATATTTTCATGACGTCACACTAATGACGTCACTGCCATGGTAACCGACGTCACGATGCATGTCAGTTGTCATCGCCTCGTACAGCCTCCTACAGTAAACTACTCCGTTGAATCAGCTAGATGATGTTGCTCATTTTTTACTGCATTGTCAAAAATATGTAACTCATCGTACGGCGATGGTGGGATCTTTGACAGCGCTTAATATTGACCTCTCCTTGACTGGATTGTTGTGTACAAGTAATATCACTCGCAATGATGTTCAGAATGTCATTCTTGCTTACATTAAAGCTTGTGGCAGCTTTACTACTTTGTAAACATTTATCAACGTAGCAAACCTTTATGATGGGCAAGGTGTAAATGGGCCCAGTTGCCCGAACACCTATCAAACTTTCAATTATCCTCCTCCTCCTCCGTTGCACCTCGTTTCTTGGTCTCCAGTTGCTTCATTCGGCTAACATCACTGGTGGAAACATTGCGTTTATGTTTTTCGACAGATATAATGTCTCAGTTCGACTCACAATTAAACAGCGACACGGCAACGTTCGCAATGTTTACATTCCCACAATGCATTTAAGTTGTAGAATGAATGAATTCACGTGTTTGTTATGAATGAAAAAATAGTTACGTCAGAATGTGACCTAATTGAGAGGTCATCGGTTATCCAATCAAATCGTTAGAATTTCAGGTCAAGTCGTTACGACACAGGTCAACGCGATACGACACTCGTGTGACGTACGAGATTAATATTTATTACCCACGTGGTCAACGTATGGGTAGTTGCATACAATGACAGCACCAGTGTTCTTATTCCAATGTTAATGTCATAAACTTATTTGTGAAGTAACTTACCTTATTAATATTTTCATTGAAATAATTTTAATTTGTATGATTTCTAATATAATGGGTGCCTTAATTGATTTTTTAAAGTTAAACTTTAAAGAGTATTGAAACTATTTGAAGCTATACATTACAAGTTAACTTTATGACATTAACAAAAGTGCTATCAATATTCATATTCCATTTTCAGATTGGTAATGAATTTAACATGAGTTATACTATATCTTTTTGAAAAGCGTCTGTTTCTTCTGGGATCAGCTGAGGAAGAGCAGACTTCAGAAAGTTGACAGATGTCAGACGACCGCTTGACTTTCTGTTCCCAAGCAGTAGACTCGGGAACAAGTTTACTGGATTTTCCAGACAACAGTCTGGAGTTTTCAGAAAGCCAGGTAACCGTGGTGAAGGCAATAATGATTTTATATAAATCACATGAGAAATATGTTGGATACAAGGTTATTTTGTTAAAACATGTTTCTCATGTTAATGTAATTGTAAATAATTTACAAAATATTACGAAATTACAGATCACATGATGTCTTCTTTTTCCAAATTATTTTATTAAATTATTTTTGTTTCAGTCTCCAATTTTCTAAGTGAAAACCATTTCTTTTCAGATAATGGAACTCTTGGTTGCAAATAGTAAATACAAAAATGTATTTGTATGAAATATCTATATATTTTTTCTGAAAAAAAAAGCTTTTTCAAAACATACACATTTTTCCTTATCCTGACTCATGCTCTTTTGCTTGTCTCCTTCCTCTTGTGAACGTTAGTGGAACAATTGTATCTCCTATTGAAGCTCCCTTCAATAAAAAACAGATGTAAAATCACTACTCACCACGAGTTATCTCTCTGGCCGTTTTGGCGGGAAAGCGGCGCCACCGTACTCCCATGCTTCACTCTCTCTCCTTCTTCGCCCTAGTGGACGGTTGGGAGAGCACCTGTGTCTCCAATACGGCACTATATCCTTTGATTATTTAGTTATTACCCTATAAATTACCTTTATAGGGGTTTAGGGAGTATCCTTCAACAATATGGGTTGAAATTTTTTCGTATTTTCACTGTTTATTCACGGTTTTTGTACGTGATTGTTCAGTTGTTTACATTTCATGAAAACCTGTTTTCGATGTAGGTTTAGGTTCGCTGCTGCAAACCCGCATTGACTGTGCCATAGCTGCACAACAACATGTACTTCCAGCTATCGATGTAATCTTTATCAGCATTTAACAGAAATTCCATTTAATAAATAATTTTTCTCTGTACTTAGACGTACTAGCGACAATCCAGGCGACTTTACAAGTCATGGATAAACCGGCTGAGTCCCTCATGAGCTGTCTACTGCTGTCAGACGACTTACTTCCATCCAGTGACCTGCCAGAGGTGTCCTCGGAGGATGGGCGTGGGATGTTGTCCGCCATTACTTCGAAGAAGTTGGCTTCTACATCGGACAACCCCTCAACGCACACGAAGAAGAAGAAGCCATCCTCTACGCAGAATGAAGCCTCACACCCCTAAGACGCCTAGCAGCTCTACGGGGACTTCTGCGCAGACTACAGGGACCTTTCGGCAGACATCGTCCCGATGGAAGTGAGATGACTTCATGATGAGCCGCTGCTGATCATCCCAGAGATACAGCAAGCAGTCCGAGGGCGGCAGATCAACGCAGAGAGGGCAGCTCTACAATCATCGCAGACGTTCAACCCAGGGTCTTCATGCAGCAGCGAGTTACCATCTACGCTGGCGGCAGATGAGCGATCTCTGGACCGTATCGCTACCAGCGCAGAGAGGGCAGCTCTACAATCATCGCAGATCTTCAACCCAGGGTCTTCATGCAGCAGAGAGTTACCATCTACGCTGGAGGCAGATGAGCGATCCCTGGACCATATTGCTACCAGCGCAGAGAGGGCAGCTCTACAATCATCGCAGATCTTCAACCCGGGGCCTTCAAAGTCATCACCCGCAGAGACGACCTGGACCTGCACGAAGGACCCAACACTGACGAGACATCGGAGAGGCCCTCCAGCGAAGCGACACCCAGAACCAGGAGCAGATCTGCGCAGGACGGCACGCTCATCTTCAGATGACGACTCAGATGAACAGCCTTCGTGAAGTCCTTTCGGACACAGCCTCAAGGACGTCATCAACATCTCGCAGATCGTCAATGGCTTCACCGAGGCATTCACGAACCAAGAGACGCTCACCTCCACGCAGGCCTCCACGCAGATCGCCCTACAGACGCTCCACGCAGGTCTTCATGCAGATCTCCACGCAGGTCTTCACGCAGATCCCCACGCAGATCTTCACGATCTCACGACAGTGGACTCTGATACAGACGTCCCCAGCTAAGGAAGAGAATGCGGCGATCTCACTCTAGTGGACCTGATACAGACGTCACCCTCTAAGCCATCTACAAAGAGACATCGCGGCGCTCAGACTCTCAACAGGACATCAAAGAGCCTGCGTGAAAGCAAATGCCATCTACAACGCAGAGACGTCGCAGTACTTAGACTCTCAACAGAACGCTACATGCCGTCTTCAGAGACCGTCAACAGATGATGAGCCTAATAAAGGACCTTCACGCCGACTACCTACTTCAAGGGCATCAACAACGCCTCGCAGATCATCACGGTATCCCCACTTAGGAATACATTGCCGGGAAGGCAATCCCGGACTACAAGACGATCACCTACACACAGGGCGCCATACAGACGCACCATGCAGACCGCCACGTAGATCGCTATGCAGATCTCCAAGGATATTCAACCAGGACACGATGGCGGACTGGACCTAGCGTCACCCTACAAGGAAATGACTGAGGGACATGTAATGAAGTTCAAGAGGGGTACTCTTGTCCGAATTCATCACCGGCACGGACCTTCAGACTGAATCAGGACAGGATTCACATAGATTGATATATCTACATCAGAAGACTCATGGCCATCTAGAGATCTTCACTTCCGTACAGATCTGCAGATATTCACACTGGCGTGGTTCAGCAGCAGCCTTGCTAAAGCTAGGAAACTACAAAATCATCAACGACTCCCTGGGTAGAATTTACAACAAAGTTCAGCATCAACTCTACAATTACGACGCTTCATTGAGATCGATGTATGCAGTCTACAATAGCAGCACTGAGGACGTGACGATTTCAGCTGATCATCTGTATAAAAGGACGTCTGCATTATCTTCAGGACTGAAGTAACAGTCACAGCAGCCAGGGAAACAGCCTACATACATCGGTATTACGCGGCGAAATATTTCGCGCGTTTACCATTCAACCCTCGATACACATGGTCACTCGTGTAACTCCGGAGGCTACGGACAAGACCGAGTGGAGACAAGATTCTACGGCGGCACTAGATTCTACGAGGGCCCTTTTCCTGCTACACCGGTGACGTCACATCGCGGGAAGCCAAAGGAATCAAAATGCTTTATTTTGATTGGACCATGAGAGACAACGCCCTGCGCAGAGGTCGGACGTAGTTCACATGTCAGGAAATGGGTTACAAGTGACAACAACCTGTCAACGAGAGAGGAAGGCCTCAATTACAGTCCAGTTAGACGGGACCTACATGATTTGGCTGCCTTCACGGGGTTAGAGACCTTCCCTGTCAACATTGAAGAGGATGTTCCGCCAGCGCAGCGAAAGCAGTCACACTAGCTCTACGCAAGTCTACACGCACCTTGTACGACGACAAGTGGCGAAGCTTCGAGACATACGCTTCGAGGACCGGCTTCACAGCCATAAAAGCGACACACCCTCAAGTGGCGGACTACCTTTGTCACCCTAGACAAACGAAGCGGTTAAAAGGGTCAACACTCTCAACTTACCTAGCGGCATTCAGCTCAGTCATCACCAGAAGGAAGAGTGCAACTGACGAAAGTACCAGAGTTACTGGCCTTACTACGCCCTTTTAAATTGGAGGACCAACAACAGAGATTTAAAGCTCTGGCGTGGGACCTCAACGTAGTTCTACGACATCTCACCAGTGACATCTACGAACCATTAGAGAGGACATCCTTCGAGTTCTTGACGTAGAAGACGCTGTGCCTGATCGCCTTAGCAACAGCAGCAAGGATGTCGGAAATCCATGCTCTGGACTTCGAGAGAACACGATTTGATGAAAATCAAAACATCATGCATATGGGACTGAGATGGGACTTCATATCAAGAATCAACTGCCAGGTCATCCAGACAGACAGTTCCACGTCTCAACACTATCATCAGTCCTTGGACCACAGGATACGCAGGACCTATCCTTGTGCCCAGTGAGAGCATTGCAAGTCTACCTACAAGATCCAGGTCCAGGAGACGGATATTCAAGCGTATTTTCGTCCCGATATCGACAGCGACACAGACGGAGGTCTTCCGCACTAAGATATCAATCTGGATCAGAACTGTCATACTACGGGCCTACAAAGCAGCAGGACTTGATCCTCCAAGAGCCTCCAACCGAAGTTAGAGCTCTGGCGTCAACACTCGCTCTACATGGGAATTGCTCTATCAGGACGATAATGGAGGGCTGCTTCTGGAAATGGGACATGCTGTTTGCCAACCACTACCTGAGGGACATCGTCACCGAGGACGTCTCTGGCATTCACCATTTCGGCCCACTTGTTGTAGCACAACAATTGACAGTCCCACAAAGGCGCTGAGACGGAGTCTCGCCCTTTTATCACATGACTTGCAAAAGCCTACACTCAGGAGAGTTCAGCTTTAGAGTCTATATGCACGTCTAGGACAGACTAGCATAAGTGATATGACCCAGTACTTGTAAGGACATACTCGTACAGGAAAGGGTCGCTTCTCCACTTGGTGCTCGCATCAAGAGATGGAGTTGCAAAATCCACATAAAATGTTAACAGAAGCAAGGACCAAAAGTTAACAATTGTGGTCCCCCCATCAGAGAAAGCTGGAAGTGAAGGGTTACAGCAGCAGCAGAGCCTAGCAGTAAAAGAAGTGCTACCAGGAAGTTCCCATAGGGGGGTATGTAAGACGTAAATCACTACATAGAATCCAAAAGTGGCTTGACCCACCACCGAATCCGATGGATTCTACAAGCAAAAGAGCATGAGTCAGGATAAGGAAAAATATGTAATTTTCTGAATAACATTGATATTTTATACTTATCCTGACTCATGAGGTAAGCCCTCCCAACCTCCCCACTAGACACTTTGGATTTCATTGTAAATTAAAGTGTCGGGCTCATAATTCGGAGAGAGTGAAGCATGGGAGTACGGTGGCGCCGTTTTCCCGCCAAAACGGCCAGACAGATAACTCTTGGTGAGTAGTGATTTTACGTCTGTTTTTTATTGAAGGGAGCTTCAATAGGAGATACAAGTGTTCCACTAACGTTCGCAAGAGGAAGGAGACAAGCAAAAGAGCATGAGTCAGGATAAGTATAAAATATCAATTTTATTCAGGAAATTACATTTTTGTATTCTTGTGAAGCTACTCAGCCCCCACATGAATTCTTCAGTGACTTTTCATATTATCAGGTGTTGTGAAATGTTTTTAATCATTAACACTTCAAACTCAACACAGTTGTTACACTTTCCAAAAAATATTTTTATTACTTACATTTAGTTAATAATATGAGGATAAGTGGTCATTTGGACTGTAAGTTCATTTAAAAAGGAACTTTCATATGCATAAGAAATATTGTTCATTTTCAAATAAATGTTGGAAGAAAGAAAATGTCCTGAAGCTTAACTATGATAGATGATGTTACTTTTCAGATAATTAGGGCTACATAATATTTTAAACACGTTATTGAAAATTGTTAACGGCTATCAGATCAATAAAGATATTACCAGTATAAATACACATGGATCAAGCTATGCTCCCTTATAAACTGTTTGTTTTAAATATTTGTTTTTTTATTTCAGACACGTGGCAGTGACTTGAATCAGGGAATAGCTCCAGTTCCATCCACCTCAACCCACCAAGTGAGGCCAAGCCAACCTATTCTGATTGAATCTACTGAGAGTTCCAGCAGTCCCTCTCTCATCTCGAAGAAGAGCCGAAGAAAAAAGAGTAGAAGTAAGTGGAAACAAAATGCCTCACAGACAATATGTAGCGGGGATTTTTTGTTAACACGGAAGGACTATTTACAGGTTGCCTAGCAGAGAGCTGGAAACACCACAAGGCCACTCAAACGCTGACGACAGGAAAATTTATGCTATCAACAGACAATATCTCATCATTATGATTAACTTACAGCAAATTGGAATCACAGATGTCAGCCAGCTTTTGGACGAAACAGTTCCACTGCCTACTATTTCAGAAGCCAAGTTAACTAATGGAGTAGTTCTAGATCTATTTCAGGTTGCTAAATCAATGAAAATGGAAATTGGAGCATCGATGGAAAAATGGATATCCAAGATGTGTGTTATCCCTTTAGAGACTCTAAACAGAGCGGCATTGATGTCAAAAGTTCACCGTACGGCAAACCAATCTAAAGGGAAACGTGGCAAAGGAGAAAATTGAATTTATAAATAGGACATTTCATATTCCAACTTCAACAGTTTCAGCCTCATCTCAAGCAACACCTGAACCTCAACAAACAGCTCAACCAACAACAAGGGTTACAGAACTACTCCAAGAACGTCGACAGACTGTCATTCACCTGCAAGAAAAGGCAAAGCAGCTGAAAAGGAAGTATGACATGCTCTCCACGAAACACAGCAAGATATCTGAGAAAGGAAAGGAAAGTGAGAAAGATTTGAGCAAAGCAAAAACTTAACTATCATCAAAAATCAGAAAATTAGATTCAAATGAAAAAGGTGAAGTATTTCAAGAAACAGAGCAACAAGTACCTCAAGTTACTTATTGAGAAGAGGAGAGAAGCTAAAAGTCTGTCCCAGAAACTAATTTCTCAGGAGACCAGGACAGAGAGGAAGCAAGCAACGGGGACAGATGCAACGGGGCCAGATGCAAAGGGGCCAGATGCAAAGGCACAGGAAATTGAAACGTTGAAAGCAGCTAATAGAGACCAGAGCAAGAGCATATCGTATTTGCAGTTAATGCTTGAAGACAAAGAAGAGATTCAACTATATGATGAACAGATGCACAAGTTTACTCCAGAGACAGTTGAATGTGTGATGAATCTTACAGATCAAAAAGTTGCCTCAGAAAAAGTCGGGAGAGTTATAAGAGATGTTGCAAAGCTATTGGTAAAACTCCAAACGGGGTACCATCTGCCACGACAGTAAACAGATTTGTGGATGCCAAATTAGCTGTAGCCCAGTCACAAATATCGGATGTCCTGACAGAAGAACAACATACAACTTTGTATACAGATGAAACACGTAAATATGGCAGAACGATGGAGACCTACGTTGTTACTGACAAGGATCAAACATCCTACATCCTTGGGTTGAGAGATATGGCAAACAAAAGCAGTCAGACGACACTGGACACTTTCAAAATTTTGGAAGACATAAGTGATAGATGCCATGACCAAGAGAGGAGAGGAGATATGAATGCTGGCTATCGCCTGTTGGCAAATATCCGGGATACGATGTCAGATAGAGCATCGACCGAAAAGGCCTTTAATAGACTCCTAGAAGAATTCCCGACCAGCATTTTGCCCAAAGTCATCGATGGCTGGACCCAGCTGAATGAAGAACAAAACCATTTGTTCCAAAATGAATAATTTCTTTTGCGGGCTTCATCTTTTGGTGGGAATGGCCGACAGCTGTGAAGCTACTTTGAAAGCTTTTGAGAAGACATTCTTGGATGAGCAAGAGATTGGATCAGGGAAATTACCTGAACTGAAGCGGTTTCACAAGAACGAAAGTGGATGTTTAAGACTCATACGGACATGTTGCAAAGCATTTGCAGTCGGTGAAGATGAAAAGAATGGAGTGAGTCTAGAGTTCAAGACATACCTAAGGAGCCAGAACAGAGGAAAGAACAACATAGTTCATTTCAAGCACAATAGGTTTATTCTTGTGTTTGCCCTCGGCCATGCTGTATATGTCCATCACTCGGACATTGCAACCTTTCTGGATACAGTCCATGGACAGTCTAACAGTCTTCTCAAGGCAGTGTCTCTAGATGTCAAAGAAATCCTGTACCTGACCGGCCTGAAATCTTTAGGACTTATTTCCAAATTCATCAGTGGTCCTCTTTGGCGATTATTGGAAACCAAAGGACACATTATGGACATTAACTACCACTACAGGACCCTTGTCAACTATCTTGACAAAGGATCCACTGACACTGACACGGTCTCAAGCTTCATGACAGTGGAGAATACACCTTTTGACACTCCCGCCATTGAGGAAGACTCAGTTATGAAGACACTCATTGAAGAAAATCCTTCTATCGACCACATTGTATGCCCTTTGTTACAGAGTCTCCTCAAGACTATCCAACAACTGTTATCAAGAATGGTGACCGATCACCTGCCAGGAGGCAAGTACTGGAACCCTCTGCTGAAACAAGAGCACAGACAAGTTCAGCATTGAGGCACAACAAATTACCAGAGTTTGTTTTCGGTCAACTGGATCAGCTGTTAAGATACAGGCCAAATACAACATTACTGACAAATGAGTCCTTCCTTATGTACTCACACAACAGAACGAGGCAATGGTAAGATGGAATGGATGACGAAAGAAGAAAGACATTATTAGCAGAGTCCAGGAAAGGAGGGGCAGAATTGAGGAAAACATTCAAATCAAGGTTAGAGGAAATTGAAAAAAAACGACTTGAAAGTCAAAGAAAAAGATAAAAGGAAGCTTGAGGATAGAGAAAGAAAGAGACTGAACACTGCAGAGACTCTCACAAATGATGTCTGCTTCTATGGATTGTGGCAAAGTCTGGAGCAGGTTCACGAAGGTCTTGCAAAACTTCCCCTGAAGGAACAGAGGAAATCTTTAGAGGCTCAGTTGAGATTCAGGAAACAGGTACTCAAACAAAAACATGTGGATCCCAAAGTCTTTTCCTTTTCCAAAAAGAATGCAGCCGGAAAGTATGTAAAGCACAGCATTGAAGATTTATCCAAGAACTTGATAACATTGATTAAGGCCACATCAACAGCTGTGACAAGTGAAAAACAACAAGAAGGAATTCCTCTCTTTGTCGGGAAACGCATCCGTCATAAATTTACTGATGCCACTTACAATGGTTATGTGATTTCTGTTGTACCTGGATTCCCAAAATGGTACAGTATATGATTTCTGATTTCAGTTGTACCTGGATTCCCAAAATGGTACAATGTAACCTATGACAATGATCCTGCAGTATATGTATATGACATGTGTGCTGACTTTGAAAGTGGAGATGTCCAAATCATAGTGAGACAAACGCCTGAGAGGCAAGCAGTGACGAAGAGTTATAGAAAGGAGAAGAGGCCTGAAAAACAATGCTGTTGTTGTCATAATTCATATGCCACCTACTGTAAATATGTTCTGTGCCATTGTTGAGAAGAGACCTGAAAAGAGACTCATCTGTATTACCATGTTCTGTGCCATTGTTGAGAAGAGGCCTGAAAAGAGACTCATCTATGTATTACCATGTTCTTGTGCCATTGTTGAGAAGAGGCCTATTACCATGTTCTGTGCCATTGTTGAAAAAGAGAAGAGGCCTGAAAAGAGACTCATCTGTATATTACCATGTTGTGCCATTGTTGAGAAGAGGCCTGAAAAGAGACTCATCTGTATATTACCATGTTCTGTGCCATTGTTGAGAAGAGGCCTGAAAAGAGAGACTCATCTGTATTACCATGTTCTGTGCCATTGTTGAGAAGAGGCCTGAAAAGAGACTCATCTGTATATTACCATGTTCTGTGCCATTGTTGAGAAGAGGCCTGAAAAGAGACTCATCTGTATTACCATGTTCTGTGCCATTGTTGAGAAGAGGCCTGAAAAGAGACTCATCTGTATATTACCATGTTGTGCCATTGTTGAGAAGAGGCCTGAAAAGAGACTCATCTGTTGTGCCATTGTTGAGAAGAGGCCTGAAAAGAGACTCATCTGTACTACCATGTTCTGTGCCATTGTTGAGAAGAGGCCTGAAAAGAGACTCATCTGTATATTACCATGTTCTGTGCCATTGTTGAGAAGAGGCCTGAAAAGAGACTCATCTGTATTACCATGTTCTGTGGATGAGAAGAGGCCTGAAAAGAGACCATGTTCTGTGCCATTGTTGAGAAGAGGCCTGAAAAGAGACTCATCTGTATATTACCATGTTCTGTGCCATTGTTGAAAGAGACTCATCTGAAGAGGCCTGTTGAGAAGAGGCCTGAAAAAGAGACTCATCTGTATTACCATGTGCAGTTGATGAGGAGAAGACTGACTATATGTGTCAATGCACATGGTTTCCAGAGGATACCACCATGTAACGTATTTAATTTTCAACTTATGAAGTTTGCATGTTGTTTCAACTAATACTTTACTAACCTAAAAAATAATTGAGGTTTATTTTTCTGTTCAGTTCATTGTTTTATTTCATTGAGGCCAAGTAATGTTTTCATACATTATCTGCTTCCCATTTTCTATGTTTGAATACTAATAATATTTCTGTTCACTTGGTGTTTATATTTTGAACTAATTGTTTCTGTTCTTAACCCTGTTTCTTATGCCTGTTTGGGGCATTTCTGTCTTGACAATAAACATGTTATTGTTCGTTTTTTACTTGTTTTTTTATAACAAAAGCTATTTGTTTTGTTTTATTTCAGATCTAACAATGCTTGCTGTTCATTGTTTCAGAATACTTACATGTTTGCATTGTTTTCAAGGTGCATGAGATTTGATTGTTAAAAACAATTGATTTCCCAATTGTAGAGTAATGGTTTAAACCCATCCTGTTAGTAACCTTCACTAAAAACACTGTATATGTATTTATTATTAAAAGCACAGAACTTGAAGTATTTATTAATTGTAAGTGTTTACACGTTAACTTAATTAAATGTAAATTCATAATATAAATATCAATTATAATCTTGTAAAGTCTTAATATATTTTATCATATAATTTATTGCATGTGATATATTCTAATACTTTTTTATAGTGTTAAATATGTCATTTTTTCATTTTTCAGGTTCTTTTCCTGTTCTTCAGCCCGACGGTACCTGTCTTCAGCGTGCTCTTAGTCAAATATTATGAACAAATGGTGATTACATCTTATATCATCTTGTAGAAAAAAGCCTTGTGAATACAAGAACTCTGTATTTTTTTCATAGGAAAGTGTTTAGAACCTCTACCAGGGCAAGGTTATTGATTATTAAAAGCAAAGAACTTGAAGTATTTATTATTAATTTTATGTATTTACTCGTTAACTTAATTAAATGTAAATTCATAATATAAATATCAATTATAATCTTTTGAAGTCTCAATATATTTATTCATATAATTCATTGTATGTGATATATTTTATTCCTCTTTTTTAGTGTTAAATATGTCATATTTTCATTTTACAGGTGCTTTTCCTGTTCTTCAGCCCGACGGTACCTGTCTTCAGAGTGCTCTTAGTCAAATATTATGAACAAATGGTGATTAAATTTTATGTCATGTTGTAGAATAAAGCCTTGTGAATCCAAAACTGTGTCTATTTCTGTCATAGGACATTGTTCAGCACCTCTACCAGGGCAAGGTCACTTTTCCTCCATATCCGAAAATGGATATTAAAAAACGCCCCTTTTTTTCGACTTACAAAGGTCTCAGAAAAAAATATTGATGGAAGTATGTGAAATATGACAATGCATGTCACCTTAGATATATCTAAGGTTCCCTAAAAAATAAAAATAAATTCTAGCTGATTTCCACAAAAATGGTCGGTGGTTGCTACTTGGATTTCTAACAACAATGTAAACACGTGAGAGTTATCGTCCCTGTCTAAACCTTCGTCACCCATGGCATTGTCACAGTGGAATAACCTAAGTTCGACTCAATACTTATACTTGTCATATTTCTTCGCACAAGTCAGTAAATCACGTTTTGCATATATGTAGTTGTACTTTGATATGTTATGTACAAGTATATACAGAAATGCGATCAAAATCAACTCACCAAATGTTGTGAAGGCAGACAATAAAACTCTGTCGCTCTTCCGTCCAACCTTGCCTCGGGTGCTGGATCCCAAAACGAGGCTCGTCGAAATGTATGTTAACTGAATGTGGACTGGGTGGTATAATTCAAAATTGAAATACGGCGGGCATTTTACACCAATCGCAGTGATTTTTTCAAAGAGCTCTCAGTGTTGACAGGAAAAGATAACTACGGTTTAACCAGCTATCTGGCCGATAAAGAAACCCATTTTACGAGTGCTTCTTGAAACCCCTCCTTATAACGTACATGCAGAAATGTACCTTTGATTTATATCAAAGTACGGTGAAAATACAACTTTGATTAAACAAATGCCCCAAGATATCATTTTAAACAACCCTGATTTATATAATTCAGTTGTAACCAAATCAACACAATCAGTACAGGGCAGCGTATGGTCGAGAAAAATAGTGATCTCTAAGAAAGTAGGTCAAACCATTACACATAGTACTGCGCTTAATGAGACTAATGTTTTGGTATGTTATAAACGAGGTCTACTTGATGTATGTGATAACCCCTATTTATAAAGAATAGCTTGGCCTAACGCCAAACACCAGTTGTGTGGGACTGCTTGTACCGGGACTATAGTCTGTCAACCCAACTTTTGGGACACCCCTATTGTGAAATATCTTCCATAACCACATGCTATTAACGACAATTAACGTATATCTTAATGATCCCCTTTAACGTAATAAGTTTTAGTTTGTTGGTCACTTGGGGAAAAAGTTACTTAAGTAACTATCATTAAAGTTTCTGTTTGTTTTGGTGTCAAGAGACGGGGTGTAGTCGAGTAAACGTAACAGCTTACGGGTTAGGTCAGCGCGCAATTCACGTGCATGACCTCGGGTCACAGTAGCGTGGGTTTCAGGTTCAAATGTATATATATCAAAAAGGGGTGTCCCAAAAGTTGGGTTGACAGACTATAATGTCGGATTTATATACTAACGGAAAAAAGTAATTGTGCAAAACATAAAATTGCACAAAATAAAAGCTATTTACAAATAACCCTAATAAACATGTAGTAAAGCACGCTGCATGAAATTTGATGTCATTTATCGCGCGTGGCACGTGTACTTTGTGCACAATGAACTTACTCACTCTTTGCATGCTTTTTGACAACAAGAATGTTTATAACCTGATATTGAAAAATTGAAGGACTGTCAAGTCAAAATATTGATTACACAACAGTCGTTTCCTGCTGACTGGGTTCCGTCCTATTGCGCAACTTAGTACAATAACCATTCCAGAATTTTGAGACCAACTCATTCAACTGGATATATAAATATTAAACAGTATTATTTGATACATCTATCACTTGTATATTGCAACACTACGCTCCTTCTAATCCTTGCAAACACGTCGTGCAGCGTGCTTTGTCGTACAGCGTGCTCTGACAAACTGAAATCGTGGAAATCTCAAAACGATGCTCGGCCGCTAGTAAAGTTTGGCGGTCTGGTACGCACTTGATATTATATATCAATCACATTGTACATTACAAAATAAATAACAAAGAACATATAACAGTTGTAACCAGTGAGCCGCAAATCTCTTCAAACACAGTCTGTGACGTCTTAGTTAACGACATGCTGCCTAACCTCGACAGTACGACGATTTTTAAACTTTAATCTTAAAATTAATTTGTAAGATGAATTGATTTAGTATAACCATAGTTGTTTGTAGTGTGTCTCTCTCCCTTTCATATGAGAAAATTCGAATCGGCTGAAAAGTAGGTCATTGTCTGAATTGGTTAATGAGACTCATGTTTCGGTTTGAATGTTGTGGAAAAGACGTTAATTCCAACCTATATGTCACGGCTTATAGAAAATCAGCGTCTCCGCGCTGTGGGTATGCTGGAGACATACATTTTGGTGTCAATGGAAACACGATCTCATCCGCTATGGAGACGTTTTCAACATAATGGGAGAGATTTGCCTCGGACTGGCCGTCCACGCGTGACGTCACGTCAGCAAGACAACCACATTCGACTGACCCATCTAAGGAATCGATTCCAGACTGCCAGTTTGACTGCTCGGACCATTTCTGGTTTACGTCCAATCAGTTCCGGGGCCCTGTTTCACAAACCTAACAGGATCGGGTGGTCGCTCTAGCTGTCTTGTTTGACACATGTCATTGTATCCTAATTGCGTAGAACGATGCCCACGCTGTTGACCACTGGATTGTCTGGCCCAGACCGCAGTCATAGAGCTGGAATACTGCTGAGTGCGGCGTAAAACAAACAAACACGACTAAAAGTATAAAAAATGATACTCACCATGATTCATTTAATGGAAAATGCTATAATTTGACCAACTCATATTATTCAAACCTATATTTGCACCCCATGAAACTGTTTATCGGTTGCTCTCAATCTTACAGCTTAACATGGGCGTGGCCATTTTGAACGGTAGTGCGCATAACAGGAAATCCTGTTTCGGACGATAACATTTTGTGGATTAGTTTATGGGTGCAGGACAAATGAAGCTGAAAATGTCTTGCAGGAAATCCAGCTCTCAAGTTTACAGGTTTACATGATGTTTACTGATTTATTAAACAATAATTTTATACGGCATAATTGTTGTATGTGCGCGCGTGCGCTTTCCATGTCACATAAACAAAATCCCAATATTCCGAACCCTCAGAATTCTTATCCTAATTTTTTTAGATCTTTTTTATTTATTAAAATAACACTTTAAATGCTGATAAACGTGGTTAAGGGAAAGTATATGCAAAGACATAAAGCGTTATACAGCCCAACTGGATGGTGATAGTTGTGATCTTGTATAGACAAATCTATTACAGCAGATACATGATGAGACCATTTTGTATTATCTGAAAAGATGGCACCGAGGTGTTTATGTTGATGTACACGTTCCAAATGTTCATTATTGAGAATCAAGTCAGGAACTTGTGGACAATTTCCATTTTTTAAAACGCATGAATCTGGTCTTGTTCGGGTTAAACTTAACTAAGCATTTGTCAGCCCATTCATTCAATTTTGCTAAATCATAGTTAAGAGTAGCTTCTATGGTTATTACATCTTTTCCTGCAGCACCAATTGAAGTGTCGTCGGCAAACAGTCTTGTGACATTTGTTAGAGTTTCAGGTAAATCATTGATGTACACAAGGAACAAAAATGGACCCAGGACAGATCCTTGAGGAACTCCTGCAGTAACATTTAATTCTTTTGATAATGTACCATTGATGGAAACACTCTGTCGTCTATCAGATAAATAGTTTGTTAACCAACTAAGTAAATGCCCACGAACACCATACTTTTCTAATTTGAGCAATAGCCCTTTATGCCACACCCTGTCAAAGGCTTTTGAAATGTCACAAAAATCATACAATAAAGGTGATGAGTATCTAGAGCTGAACATATATTGTGATAGATTTCAATGAGTTGAGATGTGGTAGAGTGGTTTGTAGTAAAACCTGATTGAAATTTACTTAAAATGCTATGTTTATTGAAATGGTTATGTAAATGCTTTAACATTATTTTTTCAAACATTTTCCCGAGGATAGATAATAAACTTATGGGTCTGTAATTAGTAGGGAGGGATTTATCTCCTTTTTTGAAAATAGGGATAATATTACCTGTTTTCCAAGCTGAAGGAAAAACACACTGACTCAGAGAAATATTATACATTAAACAAAGAGGTTCAGCTATTGATGTACAAATTCGTTTTAACATTCTCATATTAATACCATCAGGTCCACTAGCTTTGTTTGCTGGTAAAGTCTTAATCATATCCGATACTTCCTTTTCAGTAACACTAACGCATGTAATGCTGTTAGGACAGCGATGGCTAACAGGTGGCAAAGTCTTGCCCTCATCATAGATATTGGAAACAGATACAAAATATTTATTCAACGTTTGGGCTTTGTCAATGTCTGTAAATGCTGAAGGTATTCCGGAATCATCAGTTACGAGAGGGGGAATGGGTCCTGGTGAAGTAGAACCTTTCAACAAATAATTAAAAACCTTCCAATAATCTGCTGATTGAGTAGAGTGAGAAGATAAAAAAAATACCTAAATTCGAATAAAAAATTTCCTTGGCTAATTTTTTAAGATTGTTTACTTTATTCCTCTGCTTTTTGAATTTAGATACATCAGAAGTATTCAGTGTTCGAAATGCTCTTTTCCTTAAACGGTCTCTTTTTCTAATTTCTCTCCGAAGTTCACTGTCAAACCAAAGTTTGTCTTTAGGTCTGACTGTAATGGTCTGGGTTGGGATACATCTAACCATATATTCCTTAAGCAGAGAAGTAAATATTACAAAAGCGTCGTTAACATTTGGAGTTTTAGAAAAAATACTCTCCCAATTAGTGTCCCTAATCAGATTATTTAAAGCATCATAATTACCGTTGTTATACAACATTTACATAGCTTGAAAGATAGACGTAGGTTCACTTGTGATCACTAATATCTGATGTTAATTCAACGACCCCTGCGTCTTTGTATGAGTTAGTGAGTGAGTAAATATTTAACGTCACATCGGCAATATCTTTGTATGAACAATCCTCAGATAAAATAATGGGATCAATCAAGGAGGATGAGACGGGCGTTACTCTTGTTGGTTCAGTAATAACATTTTGTAGGTTGTAGTGAATAATCAGGTCACGTACGTTGTGAACATGAGTACATAAAAGATCTTGGTTAAAATTTCCCAGCAAAACCATGTGTTTTGATATATCAAGAGCAGAACTAATTGAATTATCCAATGAATTCCAAAAACATGACCCAGTGTTAGGTGGACGATATGACACACATAACATTAAACATTTATAAGGCAAAAATATCTGGAACCACATCATTTCATACATAGGTGTTTCTAAATCCTGTCTTCTTTTAACATGTAATAAATCAGATGACGTCCTGATAGTTGATCTTGTATAGACAAATCGTCGCCAGAAAACCAGAGTGTTCTATGTCCATGTTTGGGGAAAATTGAGTTAGGAAGCTCAGTGTATGTTTAACTGCATATTCTATATCCATGCAAAGTTTCACCGTGATAAATAACCTTGAAAGTGGTTTTACATTGTTTTATCGTTGAAGCACTCGGACGCAAGCAACCGACTATTTTACCTGGTCAGGGGCTTCTTTGGCGAAGCAACCTTACTATAAGGTTAACCTTACCTCCCATTCTTTGACATTGTACTAAGGTTACCTTAGTGACTTACGAGCACCTTAGTGCTTCGCGAAAGGAGGCCCTGGCGTACAAATCTCATGACGTAATCTGCTTGATATGACGTTACTCGTTTGTTTAGTATTTGCTGTTATCTGTTATAGAATAAACATGAAAACAACTGTTTGCTGTACGCCGAGGTAAAGAAATCGTACGGGTCGGCGTCGACATGCAACTACAGCATCGCCATCGCCGTCATATTCTGCTTGCTGTGTCCCATCGCCGTCGTCGTGCTGACCGTCCTCACCTTCATCGGCATTGTAAAGGATAAACTGTAAGTGCTTACGCCTGTCGTTGGAATCAGACTCACAAGGAAACAATGGCAGTGCTAGGTCCAGTGAGTGAGTTCAGTTTTACCCCGCGTTTAGCAATATTCTATCAATATCACAGCGACGGACATCAATTGGGCTTTACACATTGTGAGTGAGTGTGGTTTTACTCCGCTTTTAGCAATATTCCAGCAATATCACACCAGAAATGGGCTTCACACATTATAGCCATGTGGGGAATCGAACCCTGGTCTTCGGCGTGACGAGCCAACGCTTTAACCACTAGGATACCCCAGCGCCCCTTTTACGCATTGTACCCATGTGGGGAATCGAACCGAGTCTTCGGTGTGACGAGCGAACGCTTTAACCACTGAACTAACCCACCGCTCAATAGGTCCAGGGTAGACGTAGTTAGGAGATATAACAGACTCGTGAATAGGCAACTGCATCATGCAACTATTGCGTCCACCGTGCAGGGTATAGATTACATAATGCTAACTGCTTTCAGTCTCTTATCAGTGTCTTTGCTCGCTAGTTTTATTCATATCTGTGATTCTTTAGTATTTTTACTGTCCATCGTCGACAGGTTTTAATCTTCAAAACGTTTTCACTTTATATTGTATAAATTGTTTTCGTCACGATATGGCTGAGATATTGCCGATGTGACGTTAAATATTAACTCACTCACTCTCTTATCAGTGTACGATAATCGTCTTTTTTGCAGAATGCAGTTCGCAGAGTTACCGTTCCTGATCCAGGTCATCGCAGACGGTGTTGCATTTTTCTTTGTCCTAATATCTGCCTGCACCATCAGTGTTGGCTTCAAAACGTTGTGCGACAGCATCGTTGGCGGAACAAATATACCGTGAGAACATCCTATCTTCTCTAATTTAACACAATACACAGTAGACAGTACACAGTACACAATGGTACCGGACTGTCTTCGCTGCTCTGACGGCTGACTGACTTAACCATCATGTCATGCACCTTCAGGACCTGACTGACTGACTATTGTGTCCTGCCTCTCTGTTGACTGACTATACCATTGTGTCCTGCCTCTCTGTTGACTGACTATACCATTGTGTCCTGCCTCTCTGTTGACTGACTATACCATTGTGTCCTGCCTCTCTGTTGACTGACTATACCATTGTGTCCTGCCTTCCCATTGACTGACTATACCATTGTGTCCTGCCTCTCTGTTGACTGACTATACCATTGTGTCATGCCTTCCCATTGACTGACTATACCATTGTGTCCTGCCTCTCTGTTGACTGACTATACCATTGTGTCATGCCTGCCCATTGACTGACTATACCATCGTGTCATTCATCTCCACTGGCTGACTATGCCATCGTGTTCTGCTTCTCCATTGACTGACTGACCATACCATAATGGTTATAAACACCACTCACTCCTTCTGCACAGGTGCTCGAAGGAAGCAGTGATACCGGGTCATGACAAATCAAAAAATGACTTTTTCTATGAGAACCTATCTGCAGCAGAGGTAAGTGTGAATACTTGTCATATTAATTAATGCCATCTTATGGCGTACTATGCATGTAGTTTCACTCCAGCAGTAGTGAACTAGTTCATAGATTGATAAAATATCAATACCTTTTGGTTCACTAATGGTTTTACAGAATCCCTTGTAGGTGAGGTGAGGTGAGGTGAGGTGAAATTGGGTTTAACGTCATGCTTGAGAATATTTCGCTCGTATGACGACGTGCATGCGTGTGTATGTGGGGTGCGGCTGCTTGTGCTAGCCCAGACTGAAGCTGGTTTTATAGTGCTAGCCCACTGAGATACCATGCCGCAGTAAAGCATGAATAGGGGAGACCGGGGTCAATTGTAACACATTTTACTTAACTTCTTGTAGTTCGATCCCAGACGACCGATCACGAAGTTAATCGGTACTAACTAGTACATTGGCTTCTTGGCTTTAAACCTCAGTGTCGTTTCAAGTTCACTATCATGTCGTTACAAAGTTATTACGTATCAAATGCAATGACTGCAAGTGTTACAAATGACCCCTAGCACGGGGCAATTGTAACAGGTGGATGGGGCAATTGTAACAGGTGGGTGGGGCAATTGTAACAGGTGGATGGGGCAATTGTAACAGGTGGATGGGGCAATTGTAACAGGTGGATGGGGCAATTGTAACAGGTGGATGGGGCAATTGTAACAGGTGGGTGGGGCAATTGTAACAGGTGGATGGGGCAATTGTAACAGGTGGGTGGGGCAATTGTAACAGGTGGGTGGGGCAATTGTAACAGGTGGGTGGGGCAATTGTAACAGGTGGATGGGGCAATTGTAACAGGTGGAGTGGGGCAATTGGGTGGATGGGGCAATTGTATTGGGTGGGGCAATTGTAACAGGTGGGTGGGGCAATTGTAACAGGTGGGTGGGGCAATTGTAACAAATTGTAACAATTGTAACATGGGTGGTAACAGGTGGGTGGGGCAATTTTTCCAAATAAACATCATTGTAAAGGTAAAATGTGGGGCAATTGTAAAGATAACAGGTGGATGGGGCAATTGTAACAGGTGGATGGGGATTGTAACAGCAATTGAGGTGGGTGCAATTGAAATGGATGGATAACAAAGAAGGTTCAAATGTAACAATTGGTTTATTTTCACAATCAAAATAAAATGTGGAAAGATGTTATCTTGATCAGTTGAGGTGGAAATGGATTAACAATAAACCTTTAACCACCGACATTTAAAATGTTTTTCGTTTAAAATTCTTGTATTGGTATGCCCAAAAAATAATACAAAGACTTACACCAAAAACTTTCACCCGAGGCTAAAACTATCAACATAAAACTGAAAATGTTCTACTATGATAAACCTAGTAAAGAACTAACATAAAACCTTCACCATAATTTGTTTTATTATCATAACACAAGGGAAAATTACATGGGGGCAATTGTAACACAGTGTTACAATTGCCCCTGATGGCAGTAGCCATGTTTCATGCCACGTCACACGTTAACAACTTTGGGCTTCTCAAATATTTCTACTTCCAAATATGTCGTAATATCTAAATTTTACACTTGAAAAGTTAATTTCATACCAAACACCATTTACTGCATTAAGAACGGTTTAATACGTTTTGTGAAAAATTTACTTACCTATGTGAAAAACGATTTTTCGTCAACTGTATCTCGCCATAAGCGAGCAGATGAAAAACGCCTGGATGAGTACCGCAGGAAAGTAAAGGGAAATAACTCTACTCACCTACACTATGCTTGAGCGAAAACTTTTACAATTGACCCCGGTCTCCCCTACCCTGCTCAGACACATTATACTGACTCCGAGCCGACCAGTCCGTGTTGTACCGATCAATGCCCAGCGCCAGGCAGGGACCAACAAGTACCATATTTTAACGTCTTTTGGTATGACGCGGTCGGGGATCGAACCCGCGACCTTCCGCTCTCCGGGCGGACGCTCTAACCACTACACCACGGAGGTGGTCCCCTTGTAGACCTAATAGAAATATCAGTGCGTTATATGGGGCATTTCTGTTTGCAATTCTTTACACCTAAGCTAACCCCCACTGTAGGCAATGCATTTGGATCCATTCCCGTGGCATTTGTAACTATTCGTGTCATTCCGGCAAGCCGGATGGCGCCTCGTACCCATCCCTAAGCGCAAACGGACACAGTGATGAAAATACTCTGGAGTACCTTTTCCAAGGAAAGATAAGTCTGAATTTCGAAACGTGGTTACTCCACATCCACTCGGCAAAACAACTATACAGTCATACCCTTCGTAAAGATGTTTCAGAGCTGAAAGTTGCTGATCCTTGGCTTTAGCTCAAAGTTTATGATTAAATTGTGCTTTGCATGGTTTAGCGAAGTTTCAAATTTCAACGATGCCGCCATTTTCATGCTTCAAATGCGTTTTACTACGCGCGATTTGATTGGTTTGCCATGATTCTTGGCGATAGAGTCTTCTTGTAGGTTACGGAAAGAGGCGAGTAGTTACGAATACCTATGAGAGCAAATAGACTCATACGCCCTTAAACTATATCACCAGCACCAAACTAAAGCCAGTTTTAGTGTATATGCATGAAACCATCTTTTGATGGCTTTCTCTAGCGTCAGTCAGTTTTTGAACATTGAATTTCTAGCAAACTCGATCATAATCAATGGCCAACCCGTCATTGAGGCTGGTTGTGTACCTCAATGAGTCGAAGCAGACAGAAATGACTTAGTCTAATACCGATACTGGGAAAAAAAGAATGATTTTTGTTCGAAATGCCACATTTAGGAAACTCCACGCAGTCCAAAAATTACTTTGACTTCAGTTTATGGAGTAACGGGGCATGCAGCATTATCCCATCTTTGAGACGGAGGTCCGTGAAGATTCATGCCTTGACCAGACCACCGGGTGTTTGACATATCCTACCAATAGGTTTACTTTAGTGACTGTGTCTCAACGCAAACACTTTTCTCGGTAATATTAAATAAACATTTGTTGAAAAGAGAATCTACACGGAACTCGAAATTAAGGATTTCTCGTAACTCGTTTGTTTAGAGAGTATTCCAAAGGATTGAGAATCGAGTCAATGGTAAAGCATGCTTATATCTGTTACAACATTTAAGGCGAAAGGCACATGCATTTTATATGAACGCAGTACAGTTGCATGTTAATTTTGTAACTACCCAGGGAGGAGCTTGGGCAGCGGTCATCCTGTGGTTGGTCCAGTTCATCGGGGGACTGTTCGTGTTGTGGAGGAATGGCCGGCTGCCGTGTTTACCACCCTCTAAGGATCAACCCTCAACACCACCCCAGCAAGTCCCTGCCACATTCTAGACGATCACTGGGACAAGTTGAGTCAACTGTCCTGCTGTGGTGTGTGTTTAATTACACACCCCTTATTAGGTCTGGGTAGCGCAGTGTAAAGTTTTGTTAAGAATTCGCCAATTTTCACAGATTATCAGCATTTACTGAACTCATGACAATAATCTTTTCAACTTTACGAATCTGTTTTACAATACATGTAGTTCATATGTAAACAGTACCTTTCAACTGAATGGAATATTTTGAAAATCAAGTTTAGAACAGTTGACTGAAGTAAGTGGCTACATTTACACTAGTGAGTCTAAACTTTTCATGGGTAGTATATTTGTCAAAATATAATTAATCTATTAATTTCGGCCTCAAATTTGATGTAAAGTTATAAAGCTTATGTTTGTGTTTGTTTCAAGGAGTGAAATGATGTTATACTTTGCTAATTGTAATGTTGTTTTATAGTATTATTTGATTTGGGTAATTTAGCATTGCACAACTAGAATCGTGAAGAGGCATTAGCCTGAGCCAAGCTCCTTGTTGCTGATTGGCTTGAACCAATGTCCCTTTGTTGTCATAATATGGGCGTATTGAGTGTGGAGTGCACAGCCTTCACTTTCAAACTTAATATTGGTGGATAAAGTTTTCTCTCGTCACGCCGAAGACACAGGTTCGATTCCCCACATGGTTACATTGTGTAAAGCACATTCCTGGTATCCCCGCCAATATATTGCTGTAATATTGCTAGAGCGGCGTAAAACCTCACTCACTCATTTAATCAAACTGAATATCTATGCCGTTGTGCCTCAGATGTATCTATATCGCAGGAAAATCAACAACAATCATTTTGTGCAAGAATTCTATGTGGATATGTTTTTGTTTATCGTACCTTTCATGTAAAATGCATGAGTTTAATTGCTCAATGATATTTCATAAATTTCCACACGCGCCTCTACTGGGGTCATAGCTGGGGAAAATATATATCTGGCGCAGACATTTTGCCGAGCTGGCAAGCTCCTTACAGCGTAGCGACGTCCCGTAATGTGTCTGGAGTAGGGGTTGGCTCCCATGTGCCGTGTGCCGGGAGTCACTGTGAAGAGCCAGTCACCGAGAACCTGAGGAGGGTTGGGTTACCTAGACTGGCGGCAAGTCTCCGTCATTGTATTCTCAGGCTGCGGCTGGAGGTAACTCGACCCGCCCGTATCTCACCAGCTGTCAACAGAAATCTCGCGCCGACTTCTTGCGTGAAATGAAAAACTTTTGCAATGTTCTTCACTTCGTTAAACATGTATCATGTGTTTTTAAGAATTATTAGTTAAATTATATCGTTTTGTCAGCAAAACGGGAAATGTATTATTTGTTTAAGGTTGATAACACGTATATGACCACATGTTATGTAATCTGGGAACCTTCACATCCTTCACATCATTTCTATTTAGTCCAGAATGCACGGTTTCCAGGCATAACATGGGGACACCCCCAACAAAACTTCGGTCATACTGTGTGGTCTAATCAAGCAGGAACGTTTGCCGAAATAATTAAACAATGTCATTATTACTTATTCCTTTTTAACTTACATATTAGACCCATTAGACCTTTTTTCACAAATGCACCCTGGTCACGGCTTTAACTATGTATCGTGTAGTAACGTAGAGCAACCTGCTGTATGTACTATATACAATACAGAATACAGAGCGCATCAACGCCCACTTGGGGGATGTATTACAGTATGTTTGATCGTAAGTGAACTATTGCATGACGCCGTGTACACTGGAACGTGTATCATGATTAATGCAGTATGCATCGTGCGTAACGAATCTCCATGTCATGTTGTCATCACTCTGTTTTGGAAAGATTCGGCCACCGTGAAATTGCTGGAATATTGCTTGTAGCGGCGTAAAACTAAATTCACTCACTTCGATTCCTGCATGACATTGGGTCAGTACTTCGTATGGAACCCATTCAGGTATTGCTCCCCGCCGTGATACGGCCACAGAAGTACTTAAAGCTACAAAACCATACAAACGCATGCAGTGCACACAGAGAACACAACTATGAGGTACAGTATAACAAACGAAACCATTTATTTCATAACACAAAGAAACATTTATGCATACATAAATGTAAGTTTATGATACATATCATAAATACAAAGGATATTTGGGAGTACTTGCACACTTGGAGTGAAAGTATGTTAATGCACAAGACATGATCCTCTACATGAGCCTTATAACTACAGGGATAAGACAATAATAACAAGATAAGAACAAACCAGAGGTCGACTATGCGTTGTCTTTATACACTTCACAAAAGCTTTTGAAATTAACTTATACGTGTTCTAAACAATGTGCTATTATGATATGTTTTGTTACTCATCATATATATATATGATTCATGATATATCTTGTTTATGTAGTTTTTAGAATATTGTCACTGTTTCTGTATGGAACGTTTGCACAATAAATATTTTATCTCTTATCTCTGTAAATGTTAAAATGTTGAATATGATTTATGTATTCGTCTGTAACAGCAAGCGTACATCTAGACTAAGGCTTAGTCTCTGAATATATTCTCAGCGTCATTAATGAAGGGTCAAGCTATTGGTGACACTATTTCTTAAAAGTTGTAAAATCTTCGTTTTTGTTTGAAATATATACAATGGACGTGTTATTGGTAACATGACTTCTTAAAAGTTGTAAAATCTTCGTATTTCTTTGAAATATATACAACTGAATGCTTTACAAACTTTCTTAACAGTATGGGAAAATACATCAGGCCGTTGAAATGTCATTATTTCATTCTTTAACGTCCGCTACATTCTGTTACACATGGCACAATCTTTATTCAAATTGTCAATATGGAAATCCACCTGCTACTTAATGTCAGTGATTTGCACGTGCAACTCGCTCTATCCATGGAAAGTGGAGGTCAGTACACATGCATAAATGCTTTTTCACTGTTGAAGTTCTTGAGAGGGATATAGAAGTTGGTATTCAAGTATAAGACAAAATGTTAGGGATGTCAACTTCTTCTTTATATTATACACAACGTTTCTGGGCTATTCCTTACCCCTTCGTCAGGTGAATGCTAAATAACAGATATACCGGAAATATATACTAGTAATGTACATGAAGCCAGAGTGATTTTAAGCATGTATATACAGTACAACCACAAATTATTGAGAATTTTAAGATTGTAATTTTTTATATTTTTTTCACTCATTACTCACGTAGTAAATGGGAATATTAGCAGAACATAACTCCAGATTCAAAGACAGGTGAACAGTTAGTATTTTGTCAAGTCACCATGGGCAGCAATGCAGGCTTCAATGCGGCGGGGCATACTACTGATAAAAGAAGTTAGAAAGTCGTGGTCCATGCTGTCCCAATATCGGACCACCTCTTCTTTCATTTCAGCAATTTTTGTCAGATTTTGCTTTTTGACACTTTCCTTCATAAGTCCAAGAACATTTTCTATTGGATTTAGGTCAGGGCTATAGCTTGGCCAATCTAATAATGTCATATTGTGGGTCCGAAACCAGGCCTGTGGATGCTTTGAACGATGTTTTGGGTCGTTGTCCTGCTGGAAAATCCAACAATTTCGATAGAACACGTGAGCAAATGGAAGTAAATGTCCCTCGAGAATATCTGTATACCGCTCACTGTTCATATTCCCTTCAAATACACAGAGGGGCGTTGCCCCTAACACAGATATGCCACCCCACACGTTAAATTTCGGACTGTACTTTGGGCGCTGATACAAAGTTTTTTTCAGTTTGTTTGGTCCAGAATTTCAGTGTATTAGGAAACAGCCACACAGAACTTTCATCTGAGAAAATCACATTGTCCCAGTTAAAATTTCTATGCTGTAAGCACCAGTTCAACCTTCGCTCCTTTTGTTCAGGTTTCATGATCGGTGATAGAAATCCTCGACTTTTCTGCCAACCCATTGCATGCAGCTCAGTTCTAATTGTCTCCTTACAGACAGCCACAGTCCCTCTATCAATCATATCCAGCCTTAAGTTTTCTAAACTCCTTCGTTTGTTTTTAGAAACAAGAATACAAAGCCGCCTCCTGTCACCGACAGTCAATTTTCTGGGCCTACCTGCGCCTCCCTGGTGCTCAATGCCATATCCATTTGCAATATTTTTCAAAACGCAATAAACAGTGGACAAAGGGATGCCTGTTCTACTTCAAATCACTTTAGCTGATCTGATGTCCTTGTTATAATACTCTAAAATCAACTTCCTCTTCTCTTAATCATCCAAACTGAGGATCACTGAAAATGTCGTCTGCTAGCAAGTAAACAAAGGGGGATAACTCTTCACAAACTAATGTAAAGGGATAAACGGGGTTGTCTCTCTTGAATGAAACCAAGCACTTGATAGCTGGTCAAGGTTGTTTATACTAGAAATCCAATTAAACATATTCATAAAATTCTCAATATTTTCTGGTCATACTATACAATAAATAGGGGATTATAAGATGAAAGAGACTAAAATATACTAGTCTAATAGGTGTACATTTTGCAACATTGCAGGGAGGGCTGAGCAGTTGGGGCAATAATGTGGTTCAGACACTGTGAGACATACTAGCGTACTGCGTAATGATGGCCTTACTGGGTGTTTTGATTGTCCTATTGGACTAAAACAGGGCTGTATAATAAGCCTTATTCTATTTACTACTTCATCAATGAGTTGGCTGCCGATTATTTTGATAGATGTTGTAGAGGAGTACAATTACTCCCTGATTTACATCAACTGTTTCTTCTGATGATGTTACTTTTATGTGTGATCCAGTAAGTGGGTTACAAGCGCAACTTAATATTCTACATAACTACTGTTGAACATGGAAGTTAAATGCCAACCTTTCGGAAACAAAAAACAAAGTGGATTATCGTAATGAACTTTTTGAAGTTGTTTCATCATATCGGTACCTTGGACTCTTGATGACTCCATCATTAGAATTAACAACAGAAGTAACACATTTGGCGTTAAACGGGGGAAAAAGGCATTATATTAATGAATGTTTTCAATTTGGTTTTGACATAATTCCCAGATATTTGCTGAAAAATAAAAAACCTATTTTGCTTTATGTACGCAAAATATGGGGCTATTAATGAATTCTTTTGTTAAATTGATCTTATACAGTACGTATGAGAGAGAGAGGTTTATTCAGTTCCTATACTGCCTTTTATTACAATGAACATTTGACTATCCGTCTGGAATCTGAAACAGAATAACATATACTGAAACATTCAGGAATTGCTATAGTTGCATGAACACTTGCTTCAGTTTGCATTCTTCCTTTTCAGCCATGTTTCTTTGACATAAAGGCAGAACAGAGTATATCCAAGTAAAATTGAGTCCAAGGTTCAAGGATGCCCTATATAATTTATTATCTGGATTTCAACATAAGCCACAAATTCACAAGGCTTATATGCTTTAAATGAAGTGTCTGTGTGTTTGAGGGTGTCGAGCTTCGTCAAACTGGCATTTGCTCTCCCCTTTCCTTTTCTAACTAAGATAACCCGTGAATATTCGGGTTGATCTTCAGTAACCCATGCTTGCCAACTAACTGGATCGGTTGGTCAGACTCGCTTAATTACACGTCATCGGTTCCCAATTGCGTTGATCGATGTTCATGCTGTTGATCACTGGATTGCCTGGTACAGACTCGATTATTTACACACCGCCGCCATATAGCTGGAATATTGCTGAGTGCGGCGTAAATTTAAACTCACTCACTCACTCTAACTAACATACACATACCCAGGTGTGGCACAGTCATCCAGTCAAGAATTATACGCTCCGAAATGCTTCCTGACATGAAAGAAAATGTAGTCTTCCACCACCTTCACAAAATAGTCGTTCCTGAAATATACATGAATAAAATGACAGCACTTTTATCAGAGCTAAAGCCACGTACAAACAAAATGAAGTGACAGAATAGGTAACTTATCTTCTACATGTAGGTTTTCAGTTGTAACAACACTCACCGTATGTAATCAGCTGTTGAAATTAAACCGGGCTCAATCTTAAAAACTACGCTGCCACCATATTGGCTACACTAGTCACGTGACGAGCCGAGGCATACGCTAAGGGGCTTTCCGAGGAGTGACCACTCCCCCTTATATAGTCTCCCTGTTTTGACATTTAATTTTGATAACAGCAATATTCTCAATACTTCGAATGTAATTTAAGTAGGGTAATATCCGAGTAACTCTCCATTCCTTAAAAATAATGTGCCTCGGCCCCTCCGGGGCCTCGGCTCCATTATTTTTAAGGAATGAAGAGTTACCCTCTACGTCTTGACAAGAGTCACCTCCCTTCGCACCGTCTTTACAAAGGAAAATGGCGGGTAAGTTGTAGCATGTATTAAAGCAGCCTGGAATATGGCTAAGCGCCACACTTACGCGCCAGTCATAATAAAGTATTTCAAATCTCACATTTCGCACATACATTGGCATTAACCCATTATCTAATAATCACATTATGAAAAACTTGTGAAAATGCTTTTTGATATTTGTTTTACTATATTATTGCGAAATATACATTAATGTCGTCTTTTTTAAGGTGTCATTCGGTACAACAAGGGAGTAATCCATGTTCATATTTGAACTTCCGCTTCCACCGTTGGATAATTCAAGATGAATCATGCAGGTAAATTACATTGATATTACATATAACCAGTCATCAAATGATGTCAAAACTTTGCCATTAGTACCTGCTTAGCTTGGCCCTTATTTAACTGTTGATTATTGTAACTATTTGAGTCATTTGGCCACTAACTAGCGTCTAGTAAAAACCTACTGATCGGCCTATAAAGGCCGAACGAGATTTATAGGCCGTTCTGCCTATTTTGCTGTACCGATCAGGCCTTTTGACCATTATTATGTGATTCAAAATGCTAAAAATGGTTTGAGATCCTATGAAAACCTTAATGGACATCAAAACTTGAATAAGTTTTTAAAAATGGGAATTTATATAATGTTCAGGAAAAGATGTTTCATTTAAGAAACTTTGCACCATTTTCATTTTCAAATTTAAAACTTATCTATGTCAAATTTCATGAAAATTATAGGTCTTATATTTAATTAGCAATTTCCAAACCTATTATGTGATGCTCAAAATTTGAATGAAAACCTTAGGACATCAAAACTTGAATGATGTTAATATCCTCATGCGGAAATACCACTTCAAATTGATGAATATCCTATTATAGCAGGCCGATCGGTAGTATATCCCGTTTGGCCTATTATAGGCCGATCGGTAGGTTTCCCCAACCTGATAGATCTTACTCAGTAACTGCCAATGTTACTACATTTTGGCAGTAAATTTGCTGAATAAACTATATTTGCATAATATAGTGAACATATGTCAAAGTGCTTGGGTTTAATTAACACTGAAACACATGTATTGTGCTGAGTAGAAGTAAAACCTCATATCAATGTTATATAAGGTGCAATCATCTCTTCAATATTTTGCATAATATAGCTACCAAATATGAGTATTATAGGGTCCAATTATGTCAACAACACTGTATATTTTATAGAATTAGGGATCATATGTTAAAATTACATATATCCCATATATCAGTGTTTCATGGGCTAATCATTACAAATTCTTTTATTTTTTATTTGTTGTAGCCATAATCCCAAATCGGTTCCAGCTGAACGAGGACTTTGACAATATAATCGTTCCGAATCAAACTTCAAGAAAGAGGAGGAATTTAAGGAAGGGTGATACTGTGTAAATATGATATTTTTCCTTATCCTGACTCATGTATTTTTGCTTGTCTCCTTTCCTTCCCGAACGTTAGTGGAACACTTGTATCTCCTTATTGAAGCTCCCCTTCAATAAAACAGATGTAAAATCACTACTCACCACGAGTTATCTCCCTCGCCGTTTTGGCGGGAAAACGGCGCCACCCGTCTTCCCACGCTTCACTCTCTCCTTCCTCGCCCTAGTGGACGGTTGGGAGAGCACCTGTGTCTCCAATACGACACTATATCCTTTGATTAATTAGTTATTACCCTATATATTACCTTTATAGGGGTTTAGGGAGTATCCTTCAACAATATGGTTTGAAATTTATTCGTATTTTGACTGTTTATTCACGGTTTTGTACGTGATTGTTCAGTTGTTTACATTTCATGAAAACCTGTTTTCGTTGTAGGTTTAGGTTCTCTGCTGCAGACCCGCATTTATTGTGCCCTAGCTGCACAACAACATGTACTTCCAGCTCTCGCTGTAATCTTTGTCAGCATTTAACAAAAATTCAATTTAATAAATATTTATTCTCTGTACTTAGGCGTGCTAGCGACAAATCCAGGCGACTTTTTACAAGTCATGGATAAACCGGTTGAGTCCTTCACGAACTGTCTATCGTTGTCAGACGACTTACTTCCATCAAGTGACCTGCCGAAGATGGCCTCGGAGGATGGGCGTGGGATGTTGTCCGCCACTTCGAAAAAGAGGGCTTCTACATCGGACAACCCTACGACGAAGAAGAAGCCTTCCTCTACGCAGAAAAGCCTCACATTCCTAAGACGTCTAGCAGCTCTACGGGGACGTCTGCGCAGACTACAACGACCTTTTCGGCCGAGATCGTCCCGATGGAAGAGAGAGGACTATATGATGAGCCGCTGCTGATCATCCCTGAGATACAGCATAGGAGGAAGAAGCAGGCTTCTGCAACGGTAACGTTAGCAGATCTATCTACGCAGTCCGAGGTACCATCTACACTGGCGGCAGATGAGTGATCCCTGGACCAAATTGCTACCAGTGCAGAGAGGGCAGCTCTTCAATCATTGCAGACGTTCAACCCCGGGGCCTTCATGCAGCAGTTCTCTCAGCAGATAATGGAGATGATGGAGAAGCGCTTCGCGCAGGAAAGAGCATCACATCAACCACAGGGCTCCCATGCTCAAGGCATCACCCGCAGAGAGGACCCGGACCTGCACGAAGGCAACACTGACGATACATCAGAGAGGCCCTCCAGCGAAGCTAGCTCCAGGAACAAGCCTGCGTGCAGGACAGCTCGTCTTCAGAGGAGGAGGCAGAGGAAGAACCTTCACGAAGGCTACCAACCTCACAGAGGAAGAAACCTAGGACCAGAGAGACGTCTCGGGACTCACACCCTCATCAAGATCTCTCACCTTCGCGAAGGTCATCAGACGTAGCCTCAAGGACATCATCAACATCTCGCAGATCGTCACGGGATTCACCAAGGCATTCACGAACCAAGAGACGCTCACCTCCACGCAGGTCGCCCTATAGACGCAACTCAATGGATTCATCTCCATGCAGGTCTACGCACAGGTCGCCCCATAGACGCAGCTCAACGGGTTCATCTCCCTGCAGATCTCCACGCAGATCACCAAGCCGATCGCCACGCAGATCCCCAGCGAAGGACGATCAACCATCTCATAACAGTGGACCTGATACAGAGGACGACGGCGGTATCATCTTCTCGGACTCAGAGATAAAATATTGGATGGCTAATGGACTGGACTTAGCGTCACCCTCTAATGAAGAGAATGCAGCACTCACGTACCTAATGAAGGACGATGATGATCACTCTACCGCCAATTGATCCCATCTCGGAAGTACCAGAGAACTTGGACGCAGCCTTCAGGAAGGCAATGAAGTCTCAGGCTCCGAATATCCCACAGTTCAACGCAAAGAAGTTCACTCTACACAACATGGACCCCTTCATGAAGGCACAAGAAATCGATGACAACTATAAGGTCATCAACGATACCCGGACCAAATCTTACAAGATTGAGGACAAAAAGCTGGTGAAGATAGACACGATGACCAGAAGGATGTTCTTCGGACTGAACAGATCCAGGGCAGTGAATGAGACGCTCATCGCCAAGTTCAGGGACTCTACTGCAGAGGAGGACCGGATGATCTATTCTGTTCTACTCAAGTAGAAGAAGGACCAGCAGTTTATGACGGACCATCTATCATCCATATCAGCAGCGTTGACGTTAGCTAGAAGACAGGGACTACTGTCATCCTGCAACTGGAGCGAACGCTTCACGAAGTCGCTGTACAGAGCCCAATGGTCTACATCATCCATCTTCGCAGGTGACTACCTTGGCGGCGTCGTCAATCTCCCCTGCGAAGATGGATGATGCCACCAAGGAAGTCACGAAGGACTCCAGGGAGGTCTTAATGATCAAGTCCATCGATACACTAGCCAGCGTCATCAGGCAGACGTCCCAGCGCTACTCGGGCAAGTCCAAGTTTGCAGGCATCCAGAAAGCAAGAGAGAAGAAAATGGTGACCTCCAGAGGAGGAATGGACTCTTTTCGTCGCCCAGCCGGCAACTATAGAGGACGATCCGGACAAGGCAGGGCACCCAGAGGTGCCAGAGGCTATAGACGTTGAAGGAGGGGTTCGGAACGACTGGAGTCTTCCACCCCCAGCCGTTCCTGTACAACCTTCACAAGTGGGTGGGCAATTCTTCAAGATCCATTTGTATCCAACATCCTAAGAGACGGATATCGCATACAACCACAAGCAGCTCCGCCATTAACAGACAAACCTCAGAAGTTCGACTTTACAACCCATCGGACAGAGAGGCTACGAGAAGCAGTCACATCTTTACTAGAGAAGGACGCCATAGAAGTGGTGGACCAGGACCAGATCTCACCAGGATTCTACTCCCCAGTTTTCCTAGTACCAAAGAAAAACTCCAAAGAAAGTTCCGACTAATCTACAACATGAGGGCATTCAACAGAGATTATCTACGCAAACCACCAAGGTTCAGCATGATTCATCTACCACAACTACTACATCTCGTCAGTCCGATGGACCACATGGTCAGCATAGATCTACAGGATGCATACCTGCATATTCCTATACATCCGGACTCAAGGAAGTACCTGTGGTTTATACTAGACGGACGACACTACCAATGGAAGGTCCTGCCATTGGGAATATCATCGGCCCCCTGGTTGTTTACAAGAGTGACGAAGCCCATAGTCACATACCTACATCATCGAGGTCTACGCAGTGCGTTCTACCTAGACGACGGGATTCAAGTTCATCAAGATCCCAATCATCTCAGACTACAGCTGGACTTCACCATCAGACTGCTCACACAACTGGGGTGGCTAGTGAATCTCTTAAAGTCGGACCTAGAACCTACACAGGACCTGCAGTTCCTAGGAATCCGGTTCATCACAACAGAAAACCGCATAGCAGTACCAGAGGACCGATGGCTAAAGATACAAGACGATATCGCAAGCTCTACTCTCTCCGTGGCCACTACGACAGTGGCAGAGTCTCTTGGGTCTCCTCACGTCAGCACAAGACATGACACGCAGAGGGAGACTACAACTACGCCCACTACAGGTCTTCGTGTATGCTCATCTGGACGACCTGGACCCCTTCGGACTCCCAGACGGACTAAAACCATATCTACTATGGTGGACACAGAGATCGAATGTTTGCGGAGGCACCTATTTAGCAGAGCCGGAGTGCAATACGCATCTCTCCACGGTTGGGGAGCACACCTCAACAACGAAGTGTCAGCTGGGATATGGACCATAAAAAGAAAGATCTGCACATCAATATGCTGGAAATGAAAACAGTGATAAACGCCATACTCCACTGGACCAGCATTTTGAAGAATGCTCATCTGACGGTACATGCAGACAACTCCACAGTGGCGTTCTACATAAACAGAATGATCAACAAGGTCGGCGAACCTTCTGGACCTCTGCTTTCAACTGGCCAGCATAACAGACAACCTGAACATCCACATAAGAGCATGCCACATTCCAGGAGCCAAGAATGTGATAGTAGATGCACTATCCCGTCCAACGCAGCCATCCTCAACAGAATGGATGCTACATCCAGAGATCTTCAAGCAGATCATATAAGAGATGGGAGCACCACTAATAGACCTCATCGCCACAAGATTCAACAATCAACTGATAACATTCGTCTCACCAATACCAGATCCACGAGCATGGGCAACGGACGCTCTAAGCATCTCCTGGGAAGGACTAAACGCTTACGCGTTTCCACCACCAGCTCTAATACCGAGGGTGTTGCAGAAAATCAGTCAGACGAAGGACCTACAACTGATTTTGGCCGCGCGCGTTACTGGCCAGCGAGAATATGGTTCCCCATTCTCATACAAGAACTAGGACGACAAGTTGCAATGATTCGAGACATACGCTTTGAAGAACGGCTTCACAGCCATAAAAGCGACACACCCTCAAGTGGCGGACTACCTTTGTCACCTAAGACAAACGAAGCGGTTAAAAGGGTCAACACTCTCAACATACCTAGCGGCATTGAGCTCCGTTATCACCATGAGGACGAGTGCAAAACTGACGAAAGTACCAGAGTTACTGGCCTTGCTACGCTCTTAAACTGGAGGACCAACAACAGAGATTTAAAGCTCCGGCGTGGGACCTCAACGTAGTTCTCATCTCACCAGTGACGTTTACGAACCATTAGATAAGACATCTTTTAAGTTCTTGACGCAGATCGCCTTAGCAACAGCAGCAAGGATGTTGGAAATACACGCTCTAGACTTTGACAGAACACGGTTTGATGAAAATCAAAACATCGTGCATATGGGACTGAGATGGGACTTCATAGCAAAGAATCAACTGCCAGGTCAACCAGACAGACAGTTCCACATCCCAGCACTATCATCAGTCCTTGGACCCAAGG